TGTGTGTGTGTGTGTGTATAAATGGGAAATGTAAATGTGCCATTTTGTGAAGAGTGTGTGTTTGGGAGCCTTTATGTTGAATAAATGTGACTCTAGGGTATCCCCACGCACCTCAGCATATTAATCATCATGACACGTTCACGACCCTTCTAATAAGACAGAGGCCACAGCACACCCCCCCAAACATCCCATTCCACGCAAACCCCACTCCCTCTTTGTCTCTTAACCACCCCCATTGTCCCACGGGAGACGAGAGGGTCGTGGGGGATGCAGAGCTCGAGCTGAGGATGGAGGTGTGTGTTTGTGTGTGTGCATGTGTGTGAGAAGCTGGACCCCCTCATTCAGAAGGCTCCCTTGGGACAATGGCAGGCACAAGACTCCTATTAGGAGTGAGCATGGTAGCCCCCCAGGAGCAACAAAAGACACCTCCTAATACTCCCTGTTCTCGCACATTGAACACACATAAGCACACTCACACGGAAACAGACAGTCACACATAAACACACAACATGCACAACCCCATTCTGCCTGCCTTCAGCTAACACACTCAAAACTCATTGTTTTTAGAGCTACATATGTTTGTATTATGAGAACGCTTGCTGAACAGCAGGACGAGATGAGCAGTGAACTGCGATAAGGTGGACAGCTGGACAGCATGAGGCATGCTCGGGTGTGACCGCTAGTGTTTGTGTGCATCCACACATACATGGAAGGCATTAACGTCACAGCTCAACATTGTTCTTTATCACACGCAGAACTTTTCACATACTTTACATAAGCAAACATCTGAACATGACAGACAGATGGGTTTTCATCAGTGCGGTGGTTTGATTTGAAACCTTCTTTAATATCAGAGTCATTCTTTCACCGGAGTCAATTTTGTTTGTTGCAAGTAGAAGCGATAATTTATCTAAATGAATTATGAATTGTCCAGTTAAAAAACAAATTTACAAGTTTTACAAAGCTTAAAGCCTGTCTCAAGAGGCTGGAATGTGTAGAGAGGATTTCAGCATAAGTGTGATCCATAATAGGTGGCTTCATCACAGCTTTGTCTTAGCTTAACAATTCATGTGATTAAACTATATTTCTTTGTATTCAGTTACTCTTGATTTAGTTTGAAACAACTAAATCCCTCTGCTTTAGATACTGAAAGGTACTTGGCTAAATTTTGAAACTATGACATGTCATATCTCTTCTTTAAAGGGAAAAGCATATCTCTTGAATGCATAACCCAACAAATCTTTAATAAAAACACAATGCCAAGTAGGTAAGACATCAGAACTGGGCAATGATAAGATATCCAAAAATAAACAAAACATTTAATTTTTCAAGTGTTGGTCAGAAAAAAATCATAACTTGGTGTGTTTTATGTTTCTCCTACATTTCCTGCTTGTTTTGTAAATGTGGATTTATGAATATGCTAATAAAGCAAGGCCAACTCCACCCATCTCCAGCTGACACCAGCCTTCCCTGTCTTTACTAAGCAAAGAGCATTTCAAATAATGCTATAATCAATCCACACCTTTTATATTTCAATGTGTGTCGTGACTGCATTTTGCGAAATCCCATTTTTGTGGCTAAATAAATAAAAATACTGCAGACAGTTCTGCTGTTTATCATTTGGCCTTGCCTTTTTGTGTGAGAGTTTGCGCTACTAGCTACTGGTTAAGCCTGGTTTCTGACACTAAGTAATGTGGCACCCAAGCGTTAGTGACTTCTCTGGTTTGACAAAGAGCAAGGTGGCAAGCCTCTTGCTGCCCCCACATTGCTCATGTGTTAAAATGGCTCTTGAGCAATGACTAACTTCTTCTCACTTTGTACATTTTTTACTGTCGTGTTCCTCTCAGCAAATACAAATTAGCTTTCCAGTCTCAGCTCAGAGAGCAGTATAGGACTGGCTGGCTGTGATCCTCTCCATTGCACATGTAGGCTGGCTGACTTAAGCTTTTTCAGCCTCAGTGGTTCTCTACAGATTAAAAATGGAAATCCTGTTTCGTTGCTCAATGGGGAATGACATGACTATAATTTGTATTGCAACACAATAATAATCTTTTTTACCTGTTAAAATAAAAAGCTCAAGGACCGGCAAATTGCCCGCTCGTTGTCTGCTGGGATAGGAAATGGATGGATTACATACGGACTTCTCATGTTAAAATATGGTTGCAATTCAAAGTTTACTATCTCCACAAATAACTTCAGAGCAATGGCTTAAGTTTGCAAAGTTACATCTATAAAACAAGAGCGTTTAGGAACAATGTCCTGTGAACAGACATGACAAAAGTACAGATGTGTGGCCACGATATACAGCAAGAAAGCATTATTTGGGAATAACCAAATGCAGCATATGCCCACAAAATTTTCACATTACATGTAAAGCATGTTGGTGGATGGAGTTATGATTAGGTCTTAAAAACCTGTACAGCACACAGTCATTGAGTTGATGATGAGCCGGTGTGTATGCCAAAGTATTGTAGAGTCAAATGTGAGGCCATCTGTTTGCTGAGTGCACACAGAGGAAAGGCTAAATTAGAAGGATCATCATTTAGCAAAATTACTTGAGGCTCACTCGCCTCCTCCATGACTTCCAGCTTGGCCGAAATGAAGTCATGCACCACAATAATGATCCCAAGCTCAGCATTACATTTTATCACAAAGAATATCAAGGTGATACAGTTTCTTGGGCAAATTGAGACCTGATACTGACTAAAATTCTGCTGGGGGACCCAAAGTGAGCTGGTCATTTGAAAACAAATGAACACGTCAATTAACTGCCAAAAACATCTCCACAACAACAATACTAACTGAGAACATCATTTAAAAAAAACAATTACTTACATTAAATGCTATGCTTAGTTTTTCGCACTACTTCTGCATTCAGTTTTTGTTGAACAATGACAAGGTCCAACATCACATTGTTGTCAGAGGTTATGCTGAGAAACAGCCGATTCATGTAAAAGAAGATGCAAAAGACTTCATGTCAAACAGGTTATGTGCTATTTGTCTAAAGGTGAACAACTAATAAGGTAATGTGAAAGACTGGCATTTTTTAACATAGAATGATACGCGTAGATTAAATCAGAACAGGAACAAGTACTGTCTCTCTAAATGCCTAAAACGTTGAATACTGTGTTAATAATCAGGGAATACCAAAACTGAAATGGTGTGACAAGGCAAGACAAAAAGGCTAAAGAACATAAGGTTTTATGTTATTTTCCTGGAACTCTTCCATTTCTTATTTTATAAAGACCATTTGTAAATCCTACTTTTGATGAATACCTGAGCCTGGAAATGTCTTATTCATCAAAACAAACTCTAAACACCTCAGATGATTCCACACATTTATAAACATTTTCTCAGAATCAGTGCTAAAGTGCTTTTTCTTCATTTCACTTCCCCCCAGTGGAAGTATGTACTGAAAGTGACAGCTCCTCTCTTGACATCCCTGTTGAGGATAAAATTTGATCCTTCGTGGGGATAAAATGAACAATGCCTCATGCTTTTTAAAAATACTGTATAACAGAAAAAGATTGAATACATCTTGTAGTGTTGTAGATGACGTCCTGATTAAACGCTCTAATAAACCGTTATATTTAAAACTTAGACTTAAGAGTTTGAACTAAAATCATCATTTTAATTGTTACACTCAGTGAGGGCAGATTAGATCCTAAATGTTTTGTGCAGCCCTGAGAAATGGTCAGTAATATGTAAAGGTCACAGTATTGTAAATTAACTGAGTTTCTAATTGTACATTATGACTGAGAAATAGTTCCCAGGTCGTAACAGATGCTAACATGTTTTTTGCATATTCATGTCAAGTTCACAGAAGATTTCCTGGGCTTTTTCTGGGCTCTGTAAAAAAAACAACGATTCTGCCAGACCTCCCTCTGCGTTGCATTTCGCTCTCTTCTTCCCTTGATGAGCTTGTCTTCATCCATCTGCTCTGTGCACTATATGAATAAAAAATGTCCCAAAAGCAAATCCCTTGAATCATAAAGAATGCCCTGAGATGATGGTGAGGAGAAATACAGTCACAAGTGATGACGACTGAGAGGCTGCTCTTCTCTGCTGCAGAAAAGAGGCTAATTAAATTTTCATGTCGATAATCATGAGGTAATCCGCTGTTAATTGTGCTTCTATCTGACACAGTGGCTCTCTCATGGGATCCAACATTATGCCCATGCAGCATTTTGTTTGCTTAAATGCCTCTTAGATTTAATGGACTCCTCCATAAACTCATCCACAGCACCTCCTCACACACGACCACACAGAACTCAACACATCCATCAACAATAATCCCTTCAATGATCTCCATTTTATCTTTTCACTCATCATCTCCTCCTCCTCCTCCTCCTCCTCCTTACTCATGTCCCTACATAGGACTTAATTACTGGTGTGAAGTAATTATTTCCTTTATTAGTGAAACATGACATCTGTTTCAGGTCTTTTTAATTGTACCTATAAAACCCCTACATTATTTCTGTCCCTTTAGGATAGCACTGGGCTGCTTGTTGCTCCCGCCGGACTTTCCTCCAGCCCTCTTTCACATCCAGATCTCGAGCATTGGTAATCCTAAATTGATCAGGCTCTTTTTAAAGAAGCTCAGCAGTGATGTACAAACCCAGAGAAAAAGGAAGAGGCATGATAAGAGTATTCTCGCACTGCTGTGTTTCCAGACTTTGATGATTTGCCATCTCAACATTTCCTTCCTGATCTCATAGTTGTTTTTTTCTGACGATGCAAATGTCTAATCATATGGCAACGTATTCCCAAAAGTCGAGAGAGTACATGGACTCAGGGAATGGTGTGATGGGAGCGTGGGAATAGAGGAAGAGGGTTGAAGGAGTGAGATTCCTGAGGGCCTGGGGAAATTTTGTCCCTGTATTAATAGACTTTGGTCCCTTTGAAATTTTATTAGCCATAAAGTTGACAGTATGTCGTGCAATTTCTAAAGTTCAACAGACCCTCTTCTATTTAAACAAACTACTTATGTCCCAGCATCCAACCAGTTTGTCTTTCCGTAAACTGATGCCACCCTCTACACAAGAGGAACAGGTGTCATCGTCAAACTGAGACCTCCATGGAATAAATAAATCTATAAAAACCTCACATAGTCATCAACTTCCAGCAAACACTGACCAGTGACTTGAAGACTGTCCGGCTTCTGCAGCTCTGTCCTTTTAGCGCTCTCCCTCTTTATTTTTATGGTTCCTGCACCTTCAGGAAATGACCCTTTTATAGGGTCAACACTATAAAAGAGTTGTTTTTTTTGGGGGAGTGGTTAGTGGATGAGTGTGTGTGTGTCTGTGGAGTGGGGGGATAAGTGTTCAAGTTACTACCGGTTCGTCTTTGCTGCCAAAGAAAGAGACCTGATGAGGTTAATAGTCTTCTCGTCCAATATATCACATTGCTGTGAACTCTGTGACCCTTTTTGTCAATAGGAGAACTTTTCTCTTGAATGTGTGCGTGAGAGACTGTGAGAGTGGGCGTGTGTGGGTATCTTTATGTGGCAACTCAAGTGTGTGTATATGTGGCAATGTGCACTTCATACTTCAACACAAGTGTAAATGTACTGTGAGAGTTGTATAAGCATGTGTTCAATCTCAGTGTGCTGTATCTTAACGGGATAACATTATAATACCAGGATAGTCCTTCAAATAACTCACATGTACTGGTGGTTTATGATTGATATTTTACAATAAAACAACCAGATAAGAACTTAGAAGGTCATCGAGCCTGTATCCAAAAGTCAGTGTAAGATTCCACAGAAAACAAAGTGATTCAGTGCTGAAAATTGCAAATTCCTAACATTTGGGACAGAATTGGAACCTGCATTTGAAAATATTAAGTTTAAAGATGGAAAATATTGGCTTGTCGGGACGATAAGCAAGTGCTGCTCTCTGCTGGATCTTCTGTTACTGGCCAATCTTACTTTTACAGTCAGCAAATAAATTATTGCTCCTGAAGTATGACCTTACCAACAAAACTGTATTTTTGGTGACCTTTAACAATCTTGAGAAAAATGATGACATAATCATAAAATCGATAATTACAGTCAGCAATAAGCAGTGTTTTTGGAGTGGGGCTCTAAAAGTCATGGTGTGTGGCGCCAATCAAAAGAGGAGAAGGACAGACAAATTATTTGGGTAGGAGACAAATGGAAGAATCAGCTCACCTCAGGCCAAACCAACTGAACTCCAAAACATACACTTTGAAAGTATGTGTACGCACAATTATACACACAGTATATATTCTACCACTTAAGCTTCCTCTGTGTTTTACTGTTCATAAAAACTGTTCCTGTGCAGTTACCCTCACGACCCACTGTACAGAGGGAATTTTTTGAGTATGGGGTGCTGCACTATCATATAAATAGAGGTATTTTCTCCATGATATTTCATTGTAATTAGAGACCAGGGACCCTTTCAACCCCCACTCCAGCACCCACGTACCTTGAGTGAATACTAAGAAGCAACTCTGGCACAGGTCCAATTCAGTATGTATTGTATGAACCCCCATGGCCCATCAAAGGCAGCGTGCATAAGCATGAAAGGTTGATTGGGTTTGAGGTGCGCAGGGAATAGTGTTTGAAGTCCTTCTATCTGAGAGACAGAAAAGGCACTTTTAATCCTGTGGGATCACTAAGACGCCACAGGCAAAAAAACAGAGATGCACTCATTCTCTCTCAACTCTTCCATGAGTACTGGAGAAAAAAAGAGGATGAATAAAAGAGGGGAGGGGGTAACTGAGAGGAGGATGGGGGGTGAGTGGGGGGTGCAGATGATCAAAACTGCTGCTAACGTAAAGAGATGAGGCAAACAGACGAGAGGAAGTGCTTCAAATGACAGATTCAGCAGTATAATCTCAGTCATGGGCTCTTCCAGATAATATGAGGTTGTCAGTGACACAATTATCAGGCCTCATAAACAGTGACAAGATATTAAATCGTTCATTGAAATGTATTTTGTTTGTGTATGTGTGTATGCGTGCACAACTGTGTTTGCGTGCAAAAGATGTAAAGTGTGTTTAATCTTGTTGGCACTTCTAACAGAAGAAAAGTGATTTTAAACATGGCATTTAGCAGTTGTAAAATGTGGTAAGTTATAAAAGAAAACCTACCACGTACACTGATTTTACTGTGTTGCATGAATTAAACCATGGTAAGCAATTTCAGAGAAAATGACAGCTGCATAACTTGATGCATTAACAATTTAATAAAACTCAAACAAATCAAACCTTCTATAGAGCTCCAAAATTCTCTTAATGTCTAACAGTTGTGCACTGTGAATATGGTGAGAAAAATCACTCTCACATTCACCAAGTACACCGGTAACTCATTTTATATGGCTTACTCCTGTTTTATGTTGAATTTTACTGAAAACATCATGGTATTCAATATTTTGAAGAAAAAAAAAAAGAAAGATTGTGGGATTTAAATGTTTGAAGTGTCCAAAGTGTCTTTGAGCAATTCCATTTTCCTTGTTGTGTAATGACAGGGAGAAGTAGGCCTGTTCTGACAGGTGGGAAAGTAAAAGTAACCCTGCTCCTCTATTACAAGAGAAGCAATCCAAACACACCTGCCTGTATATGTATATATATATATATATATATACATATATATATATGGGTCTTGTGCCGAATATATCACGTGTGCAAATGTTGTTGAACCCCACGATGAGCCAGGGAAAGGTCACACACTCCCCTCGACCCTAAGTGATTCTGCGTCTTTGTGTACTCGTGTTTTTTGTTTTTTTTTTAAAAAACGAGCTGCGCCTATAAACTTCGCATTTAAAAGGCAAGTGCGACCGAGGGGGGGGCACTGCATGAGGGGAACAATAGCAGCTTTTTGGACACACTTTTTCTCACTGCGATGAACAGCAGGGAAACCGGTAGAGCCTCCTATAAAAGACAGATAGAGCACAGCTGCCAGGGTTCACTAGTAATTTTATAAAACGTCTCCAAGGGCCCCCTCGGTGGATTTATGGGAAACTACAAGAGGGCGAGCAAATTGTTGGAAAGCAATAATCAGACGACCTCGTGATGTGATCATATATCCAAAATTTCAAGGCCCGCATGCAAAAAAGGCAAAGAGAATAAAGTAGGGCAACAACCTGCCTAATGCATAATCATTGGGAATGCACTTGACATTCAAAGGAGGCTGGATGTACTTTCACTCAGTGAAAAACAAGCATAAAAAGTTTGAACCTGGCAGCTAAACCGCAGAGCTGGTAATACTGCACACTCTGTTCCAACGTCATTACCATCACGAAAACAAACAGGCCATCGCGTTTGGAGCTGTTCTGTTCGGAGCGACACTGCTCCTTCGGCCTCCTTCCCTTCTTGACGGTCATGCTTGGGCAACAGCTGAGCAGAGTCATTTATCTAATTTTGCCAGCCAGTAGAGACAAAGAATAACCCCAAATCTCGTTTTCAAAAAGTAGCTTAGGTCACCTCAGCGGCACTGTCCACGCAGCAGGCCTTTATCACTTGAACCTATCCACTTCGCATTTTACGCACAGTGCGCATTTGGAGATAATATAGCTGATGAGTCGTAAACGTTTACTCACGCTCAGAGGCCATAGTGATCACCGACTCCGTGGTAGCGTGGTACTCGTCCTCTTCCATAAACTCATCCTGGGACGATGCGTCTCCCTGGAAATCGTGATGGTCCAGGAGCTGCTGGAGCGGAGGCGCCTTGGGCAGCAGCTGATTGACCACCTCCCGGCTGATGTTGGGCGCCTGCTTGAGACGCAGCTTGCTCAGGATCTGGGACTTGATGGTCTCCAGTCTCAACACTTTGCTTTGCTCCCTCCAAACACAAGCCGAACACTCGTGGGAACCAGCGTCCTCGTCCAGCAAAGACAGTCCGGCATCCGTGGGCGTCTCGCTGGCAGGAGGCAGCAGCAGATTGGGCTCATCGCTTCGTCCCAGGGAGATGAGCACAACTAAGCACAGTAAGAAGTTGTACCTCGGCATGATGAAGCGTTGACACCAGGGTAGAAAACTTTTTTTTCCCTTTATTTTTTCACTCGCTTTTATCCCGTTATAAATCCTCCTCCTGGTCTTAGTTTACAGAAGGCACAAAATCAATGACACGCATCTAATCCAAGATATCAGCCGGAAGCCACTCTCTTTTCTTCCTCTCTTTTGCAGAAGTTTCAAATGAAATGTTTTCTTTTTTGGAAAAAAAGTGCGTCCCACTGTGTCACGGCACAAGCTGTTTTGATTGAAAGTTAAATCATCTGCCTGATGAATACATAGCTCGCTCACGTGTATAATGGTGGCTGTGGGGTCCTCTGTGCAATTTAGTCCATGAAGGTGTGCGTATGTTCTGAGGTGTCACTGAAAAATGTGCAAGTGCGGTCAAAAAGGGGCTCTTTATATATCTCAGCTGCCCGGTGTCGTAATCTGTCTCCATTGGCTAAGATTGCAACAAAAGGCTTTTAGGTCTGTCACCAAGTCAAGAGGGACAGAGCGATGGGAGGGTGCACGCGCTGTTATGGGAGTATAAATGTTTTACAGTGCGCAAACAGTGCATCACATTACAAATGTAAATCCATTAAGTTGCTGTGCCGATGGCAAATTATGGTTTTATGCACTGTGGGTTTTTTTTTCTTGGAGTGCGTCAAAGAAAAGATTACGGGATTTATCGCGAATTTACCCGGCAATCTGATATATCACACACATATTAACAATTATAATTAATCTAAAAAACAAACCCAGAGATGTATGCGGGCCTGGAATTTGCATAGGATACTTCACTTGAAGATGCAAAAGACTGGTAAATGTTAGACTGAACAAACTTATGTATCAAGTTACTTGTGTAAAGAATATATAATGAGTATGCAGGCCTTTTTCAATTAAAAACAAAGCAAGATTTTTTAAATGAAAAGTAAAAGTAAAACAACAACTACTACTACATAACACAGTCATGAGAAACGTCATTTAAAGTTTTATACAGAAATTATGCCCAACAACCTTGTACAACCCCTAATGCAGTTATTAGTAAGATCTGTATATGGTGATACAAATAGATCAGATAACGTCTAAAGACCCACTTCACTGTTGTCAGTTAAGGCTGAATGAGTATGTGTCAAAAAATTTAAATGCCTCTATTCTGACTAATGGATTTAAGTTGTAGCTTTTGCCAAGTACGATCCCATAAGACAATTGCTGGAATCCCACCTAACTGCAGTTTGAATTATTCAGTTGCATGTGTGAGTGTGTGTGCGCCTGTGGATGTTTTGATTAAAGTTTTCATTTCAGTTTAAATGTGTTTTTTGGATAAGTGAGTCTTCTGTGGAGCATCAACAACCTACCATTGCCACCTGCTGGGGTCAAATATATTGCAGCGTTTCCAGGACTGCAACCATCACTCGTGCAACATACACGTGTACTCAGATTGACAGTTGTTCAACAGACAAAAACAGATGTTCTACGGTTTCATCATAGTTTTGTCGTGTGATTTAAAAAAATAATACTAATTCAGTTAAAAAATTAAAAAGGATTTTATTTTCCTCTTTTCAGTGGTGTCGATAACTAGTCTAAAGTTTTTCACCAAAGTCATCACCACGTTTTGTACTACAGATTCTGATTACTGTTGGGGGACAACAGCATGTGGTCACTATATTGTACATCAGACTCATTTTGCAAATTGGGCACCATGTTAATGAAATATAGGCCCACCTTCTTTTGGACACAAACACCTAGGCAGTTTTCTGGTTTGTGGTACAAAAATGATGTTGTGAAAAAGTGAATAAGGGTGATGCAGTGCAATGTGTTTAAGACTAAACTAACCGACTCAGTTATATAAAAACATACTGTATTGTATATTTGGGATGTAGAAATAAGAAGTGGACTTATAGTACACATTAATTTGTTTTATTTAGGCTTAGCTATATTTTATTTAAAAAATTCTGTTGTTTATCAATTCTTGTTAAGTTTAGATTAGTACCATTGAGGGCCAACTGGCAAGTTCAGACAAAGGTAATGTTGCATTGTCCACAAATGTCTCTGGGTTTCTTAATTCCGAGTGTATATTTCCCTCATGTTAGTTTCATCGTCAAATGCAATGAAAACTACAGAAATGACTGCATTTCCCTTTGTTTGTATCTGACTCTGGGGGGTAGTTTGAATGTAGGTGGGATGTATTAGATACTTTTCATAAACTGTAAAGTACTCACCTCAGTACTTCTGGTCAGTTGTGTGTTACCTTGCAGAAATTGTCATACAACTTTGTGCTGACCTGAATTTTACATAAAGCACAGTTTTTAGCCTGCTATAAGCATGTCTCGTGTGTCATGCAGAAGTCTAATATGTAACTGTTTCTCCTTTTCTTTTTTGTCGACAGCATGAAGGCGTTGGTATGACGATTTGGTCTCTGCGGCTTTCCGTAGATGACGGCCTGGGCGTCGCTCACTGCTGCTGCGTAGGAACCAAACACCAAACAACACTTCATCCGGAGAAGTCGTAGGTGTTCCTTACATAAACTAAAAACTCAATATAAAACCTAAAAATGCACTCGGTCCCACTGGACAGCAGTGGCTCGCCAATTAAAAGGACTTTTTCTCGCGGACTGAGCGAAGATGAGTCTCTACGCAGCATTATAAAAGAGGTGAGCAGAGAAAAATCTCGGTAACACCAATGTTTAACGTCATCGCTAAGGCTAACACTTTGTTAGACGTTTTGAAAACTGGTTTGCTGTAAAAATAATCTCTGTGAAAATTGTGAGTTGACGCCAAAATACATGATTAAATATTCATTGCCGAAACAATGGCTCAGTGGGAAAAAAGTTTTGTTTCGTCGTACCCACCGCTTCACTTCACTTCCCTCGTTATTAGCTTAGTTAGCCTCTTCTGTTTTTGTTGTGCCTGAAAGACCCGTTAAGTTAGCTCCCACCGTCTCACCACCAGACCGAGAGCCCCTCCAGGCGTGTGACGCGGAGTGATAGCCGAGCAGGCACCCTGAAGAAGAGGACGGACAGCCAGGTAGGAGCCGGCCGGACAGCACCGACATACCGGCGAACAAAAAGCCGAGACCTCTGACTGCTTGAGCCCTGGATAATCCTCCTCACCCGTGTCTTCATCACCCAAACATTAAGAGATAACAGCCGTACACAGTGGATCTGGCTTTAAACGACTAGTTATGCATTTAGATTGTTGTTGCTTTGGTTTGAAGGTTCCCTATGTTGTCCTTTGAACAAACATTTGAGGCCAGTGGTGGCCCCATTTGCACAAGATAGCATGAATAATGCTGAAGTCCATGTGCATTTTCTTACAGTAATCTTCACAGTGTCATATTAAGTCATATTTTATCATCTTTAGTGGACTGCAGTTATGCCAAATCAATACTGGGAGAGTGGATGAGATCAGTTAGAAATAATACTTTGACAAGTGATAAGCATTTGTCATGAACAACTCATACTGCTTTTAACGTTTAGTGGTTACAACACACTTGCTGTAATATGAGTAGCTGAGATCAGCTGAAAGCATGCGTCATCTTTAGTATCAGGTCATTATCTCCTCTGTCAAACAGAAGCTTTGCTCTCCGTTTCACCCGTGATGGCAAAAGCAGTTTCCAATGAGTAAGAGACAAAAATGACAAGGCACTTCCTCCACATAATAATGAAACGGTTTAATTATTTAAAAAGTATTATACATACATATATATATATACACACACGTATAAAGTAGATCTTTTGTCAGTTTTACACTCGCTGATCTTATCCCTTAAAGTGGTTCTACAGCTCAGACTGGTGCCGTGCTGAGGTGACCTTCTGAGATTGCTGTCGGAGATTACTGGGAGCAATGTACCAGCGTGCTCAGTCATGCCTTTACTTGTTTCAGTCAATGTCAGATTCATAGAAATCACAGCCTCTCTGAAAGGGCTGTGGCTTATTAAGGAGCTTTAAATCTGACCCAGCTGGTAACACCCCTTCTCAGAGGGGCATGTCTGTGCCTGCCCTGCTGTTCCCATGGATACACCACTGAAAAGATTCCAGGAAAGCCAACATGACGGAGCATTTAATGGACAGCACAGTTACAGAGAATGAAATATAGACAGTTGCTGTTAACTTTATGGTATTTAGTTTTAAATGTCAATGTTTCTAACACTATCTCTAACTAACTGTAATCTGTGGAGAGATGACCAACCCAATATAATTGAAGTTCTTGGTGCCAACAATGTTTTGTGAACAGGATCTCAGTGATGTTTTTTGCAGTGATGGTGGAAAAGGGTTTTTAAATATGGCCACGGGTTGTAAAAACTCCTCTGTACCAAGTATTGATCAGCTGTTGCTGAAAAGGGACAATTTCCCTTTTACATGTTAGGAAAGTGTTCATTTCTTTTTTACAACTTTCATTTTCAAGATCAGTCTTGACTACAGCTTGACTCAAAATACATGGGATTTGATAAAGTGTTGATAAGATGTTTAGGGTTGCAACAGAGCTGAATATCTTACTGATTCAGAGGTTTTTAAAGCAACAGTGATCATCTTCTGTGGAAAAAAGATGTGTTCAGTTGACATGTTGTAAATCTACCCATTTTGTAATTTTTTATTTGTCCTATTAGTCAATGTATAAAAACATTCTTTATCAGTTAACTGATATTTTTTTATGTTTGTTACCTTTTAGCAGTCTGACCAGGACCTCTTCATGGGACTGCCAGAAATGGTGACTTCTTCTTACTTTTCTTGTCAACCAATTACCCTCTCAATTGTCTTAGAAGCCATGTTCACAGTTGGAAGTCCAACAATAAATAACTGCAGTCAGAAGGTTCTTTTACATATTGGGAGATGGCCATGCCTCCACCCGAGGCCTCCCACCTAGAGTTCCCTCAGACAGCAGGCTGACCACGTGTTCTCCCGCTGATTATCACGCTTTCCTCTGAGGTTGCCCACACCCAGTTTGTAACCATGTTTTGGTGTGTAGCTGGAGCTGCAGGCCAGCTACGATGAGGCGGTGCAGGAGCTGCGTGGGCTGGAGGTCGAGCGAGAGGCTCTGTTGTTCCAGGTGGACGTCCTGCAGGACTCGCTGGAGGGTGTGGAGGAGCTGCTGGCTGAAGCCCAGAGAGAAGCCGGACAGGCCAGTCTGGTAGGTCGAGGCCTCGCCAAAACTCGGACGGCACGAAAAAATAAAACGACTGAGCCCTGAAAATTCATCTTTTTAAGTTGATCGTTCATAACGGAACAGAAAAACAGGCAACAGGTGTCTGTGTGATGCTGGTGTTTGTCTGCATTGGTAGGAGCTGGAACGAGAGAGGGAGGACAAGAGGAAACTGGAGAGCCTCGTTTCTTCTCTGATGCAGGAGGTGGAGAGATTAAAAGAGGTAAAGTGGGAACTGAAAGGAGGATATTGCATAACAACGAAGTACTGAATTTGTGAAGAAATTTAAAGCTGTGGTACATATTACAAAAATGTCTATGTAAGTAATGTCTGACTAATATTATGATCAGCTAATGAATGGTAGTAGAGCTGGTGACGGTAACAAGAACACTGTTTATATTGACCCTTAAAAGCTCTCTGATCATTTCTGTGATTTGTCCATAAGTTTTACAAGAGTAAGATTTAAGTCACAGCTGAATTTATAGCGATTTTAGTTATTAGCTTGATTTAGGTCGTTAAAAATTTGTTGGTCACTTTCTTTGCTCTGAAAACCCTCATAGAAGTTGATTTGATCACACCGATGTGGGAAATCATGTTTGCAGAGATTTATGAGTAACTTGAGTGCAGAAAATTGTTTTCATTTTCTTTGAAAAAGTCTTGGAATGTACAATTTGTGTTTTTCTGTTCAGGAAAGGGAAAACAGTCCGGCTGCTCCAGTGAACACGACGGATAAAACACATACAAGGGAGAGTGACACCTTGCTGTGTAAAACTTGCTGTAGAGAAAGTAATGAAGGATTAGCTGCTGCAAAGAAAGGGGGACCGGACGTGGAGGCCTCAGGGAGCACCCAGCCATGGAGCCAGCCGCCTTCTCTCTCTGTGGCCGAGCCAGTCTCCAAAGACGGGGTCCTCCAGAGACCCTATGAAGCCCACGCAGAGGACGGGAGGGACCCTTCTCCAGATAGGAACGACTCTGAAAGCCTAAGTGCCTACGAGGATGCATCTGCTGAGACGCCAGAAGGTGACGAGTTCTTCCCGGACGACGGTAACCTGCCACACGATTCAGAGAGCAAAGAGCAAGATCCAACTCGCAGCTTCCAGAGCCAGAGCGAAGAGCTAAAAAACCCCGAAGCCTGTGTCTTGTCTTAATTTTGGTTGAAAAAAGCTCAGGAGCAAGGCACCTTTTTTTAATTCAAGAATTCAGCTTTTCAGTTTGAGATGATTATTACTGTAGAAAAACTGTAATTCCAGCTGCAATCATTCTTCAGTCAGTTAATCTGTGGAACGATCCCTTTCTGTCAGGCAAAATTGCCAAACGTTTGCAGGTTTCAGCTTCTTAAAGATTAGAATTTGCTGCCGTTTTTGGTCACATCCAGACCACTGAAAATTCTGTCAGGTGTTTGAACCATTTTTATGTTACCTTTTATGAAGTTATGATCCTTTTTTAAATGAGCATTTCATAATAAGGAGCCAAGTCACTGATTGATTGATTAAACGACTCCTTAATCTATAACACACTCTAATCAAAATACACTGTTGTTGAAATTGACAACAAGCTCAGGATCCAAATGGTGTGTTACCTGAAAAAGAGGAATCTGGCTACATTTATGCTTGTGGAGCATTGCTTTCCGATATGAATTAACTTTTCTTTTAACTTTTTTTTTTTTTTTTTTAAGGGATTGATTTAGAACTTTGTCTTGTCTGTTTTGAATATTTTTTTTATATTGTAGAAGCTGCTGGAACAACATACCAGATTTATCTGTATCCAAAATACACTGAGCTGTATTCAACTGGGGCAGACATTTGTAAGGTATCAGATTCTGTCAATCAAAGGCAGGTTGCGTTGTTAAAGGGATTTTTTACGTAGGGGAAATGCAATCAGTTTACTGCCCATGTTTTTTATACTGTGCATATGATCTGTTATGCTTTAAAGTTCATTTGGCTGCATTTGCACTTTTTAAAGGCCTTGTATTGTGGAATGAATTCACCAGATCACATAAGCAACAACATTCCTTTGACAACCAAACATTCAGCAGATGTGCTGCAGGTCAGCTTTCGGCTGTGAGCTGATGCTGTAGGTTTGCGGATTTTGACCTTTTTCCTCATTTTTTTCAGTGGCACAAAATCAGAGTATGATGTCTAATATCTGTAAACACTTCGTATGTTAATACATTTTTTAAGCTGTACCACTTTGATTTTTAAGTGCTGAAGGGAAACTGTAAACCATTTTTATGATAGCCTGCATGAGAACGTATACACAGCAGATTGTTTTCTAACCAGCAGAAATGTTTGTCACGTCAGTATGTTTGCATGCAGTTCCCTCACATTCATTACAGTTATATGTTTATTACCGTAAAAATAGATGCTTTTAAGGTTGTTTTTTTTTCGTAACATATCAGATGGTTGAAGTGTAATGTTAGAACAATACTAATTCATGTATGGATCACAGCATCCTGCCGTGTTGTTTTAAAGCAGCATAAAAATGCGGCTATTCTCTAATCTGCCTTCAACTGCTGTCGCGGTCCTTTCTCAGCCTGACGCTGGTTTGGCTGACAAGGTGCACATGAAGAACATGTTGTTATTTTTCTTCCTGGGTATGGCTGTGGTGCCGTGTTGTCGCACTGAGGTCATTTCCTGAACTGAAAGATTCGATCGTATGAATAAGCCATCCTCTGTTGATGGATGTTGCTCCTCAAATCGAAGGGGTTTTGTTTGCTTTCATCCTAATTGAGATGTTTCCCCTAAATGTCACAGGTAATGGTTGGCATGTTAAGCACGCAGAGGACTTCTTGACTGTTCATGATCTAATCAGATTTTGGCTCGGTTTTCGTACATCAATGCAAAAAAAAAAAATTCCCTTCTCTAAGTTGATGCCTTTACAACGTCTTCAGAATTTTTTTATGTTTTCTGAACTATAAAATGTTCTGCTGTAGAGAAAGAGGGTGAAGTATCAGAAATAAAAAGCTTGAATAATGATGCTGTTGCTGTGTCATTTGTGTTTACTTTAATCCATTTGAAGGAAGTGTTTAAATCACATAACAGGAGCATGTTGTTGCATTGTCTGTCCACCAGATGGCAGAATGGACTCCTTAATGTGAAAGTCCTTACATGGCTTAAACTAGTTGTAATAATTTTACATGAGATCTTAATTACTAATTAGCTTGTAATCACAATGCAGTTTGTAGCCATTCATACAACTTGAACGCATTAATTAAAAAAGCTGTCACAAATCCACTTTTAGGAATGCACTCAACATCTGGGCCCTTATTGTAAAATCAGTATGTAAGAGATTCCAGTTATTGACTGTAAACGGATTACTCCAAGTGAAAATGGTCATTAAAACATCCCCTTTTCTTTCTTCATGTTCAGTTGTTTCCACTGTGGCAGGTTCACAAAGTCATCTTTGGTGATCCCAAACACATCCATGAAGTCGCTGTCAGAGAGATATTTCTGAAAAGGGAGTTTGCACAACATCTTGAGTTTAGTCAAATATAAAATTGTACAAATGTCTAATTAACAACTCAAAACAAAATACAAATATGTATAAGGGGGAAAAAATGTAATTTCTTCATGGGTTCACAGTCTAAAATGAGGAAGCTTCAACTTTTGTTGTTGAAAGTTATAATAATAATAAAGTTCTGATAGTAATAAGTTAATCGTCAATATCCCTCTCCACCCTGACTTGAATCTTTTTTTCTCATTCTCAGACAGAAGACGAAAACGTGAGAAACTGTATTTTTCTTAACTTCATGTAGGCAGCATGAGAGGTCACAGCTTTTTTTCTATAAAGATGAGGCGATTCCCCTTTCTGTGGCTTGTTCAGTCACATGTTCCTTGTGATCTGGTTATGCTTCCTAACTGCAGTGGTGTTTCACAGAATTATACATTTACACTCCAGAAAACCCCATTTTGATTACTCCCTGATGCTTTTAATGATGTGAAGCTGTCTTTTGCCTCTTCCAAAATGTCTAGTGTTTAACCAATGTGAACTACAAGTGCCTACACACCTCTTTCTGGGTGGGGTCCACACCTTCAGGCAGTTCATGGGCAACCTTGTTGATCAAAGCGTCAGGTGGAAAACACTGGAAGGTTTTGTTGCTCTCCAAGCTGCTCTGCTCCTGTAGAAATATATTAAAAAAGAAAGATGCCAAGCAATGACTCAAATTTTCAAAAGAAAAAACAAACATGAATAGATATTAACAGGAATTAACAATCAGATATTCAAAATGAATATTTCTGCATTCCTTTCTGTGTTTCTGAGTCTGCCTGGTAATGAGCAGGAGGTTTCTTATATAACCCAAGTTTTTGCAGCACTAAGCTAAACAAAGGCCCAAGTTTGCTTCTCCTGTCATGTGACTTAAACCTTTTCCATGGTGAATGGCCTAACTTTATTGCCTGTTTGTTACTGTAATTTCCCCCATCGGGGACGAAAAAAGTATTTTCTGTTTTGATCCATACGTTCTACACAGCACTACATACAGATAAAACAAACTGACTCAGAAGTTTGGGGAGACACCAGAACATTACTGCTAGTATATCTGCCAGCAGTCTCTCATTTAAAGCCCTCTCACAAGCCAAGGTACAGAGAATTTGGCATAGCTTGGTTGTTTTAGGGTGGATCTGGTCTGTTTCTTGTTTTTACAATGACAAGTCAAGCCTTAGCCTTGCTTTGAAACACCCACACTACTAAACAGAGAGAAAATTCCATGTTTAAAAACTGGAAATGAATAAATCCATAAACCGACAGCCGTAATTATTTAAAGTTAATTTCTAAATACATACATAAATAGTTAAAAATGTTTTTTTAAAGCACATACTCATTAATGGATCTAGTGTTATTTTTGACAGTTGGGGTCTTATTGTTTCTTTAAAAAAAGAGTTTCACACTAAAAGGTAAATTTTTAAGTCTGTGGTATTAGTATGGTAGATAAAAGTGCTATTTGTGTCTACATTTTTTTTTATTGTACTCTTGAATTGTGTCCCAGAGTAACACATCGAATCAGTATGAAAAAATGGGGGAAACCTACTTGAAACTGTTGGCCATGTTTAAATTTCTTTGTGGTTGCATGGTTGGAAAAAATACATAAATACTAAAGCAGATTTTCTTTAAATAAACTGATAAAATCAACTTGAAACATGGATTTTAAGATTTCCGCATGCCATTCACAGTTTACTTCTGGCCTTAAAGCCAAAACCTAAATGAGACTTAGATGCTGTTGCAGTTCTGGTCCGAAAACCTTAGAGACAGGTGAGACTGCACATACAGTATCAACTATAACAGGTGATGCTACATCTCCCAGCTCCTTCTTCAGCTCTTCATAGCTCTTTCCTCCCTGAAAGAAGAAAAAAATTCCAATTAGTTGTTTTTGTTTGTTTTGACATAAAAGATAACTCTGAAATTTAAAAATTCAGAAATATATGACTAACACTCCATTTGAAAGGATCCCAGGCAGCAAACCAGCCAGTAAAGGTGGGCGGCTCAAACCCCTGCTTTATCGAGACGATGGGGGTATCTGGATCTCTGTCCCCCGGGTGGGTGCGCAGGTATTCCTGGCTTGTGACCACTACCTCTTTGCGCTCCACCTCATTGGCATTTTCACCAATCCACAGAAACACCTAACACCCGCAATGAGGAAAAAACACGTGATCAAGAACGAAAATAAAGAGGTCAGTTTAGTTTTTATGGAGAAAGGACATCTTACCTGGTCCCAGGTGTCCAGTAACATTACGTCGTCCTCGCTGAGGTCGTCCTGTGTGAACTGAGTCACCTCAGTCACGCTGAAACGGCCCGTCTTATTGGAGCATTCAAACAGACGGGGCTCATGGTCCAAAACCACCTGCTGCAGTCTGCAGACAGCAAGGCTAAACTTCAACACCAGTGGACACACGTGTGCTTCTTTCACAAGTAAAACTAGAGCACTATAATTCGTCCGAAACTTCACATTATTGATTGTTTACCTTTTGTCATTGGCATAGGGAGCTTTCCCACCAAGCAGCTCCCAGAATTCAACGGGCTCTTGACCCTCTGCCACAATCTCTTCAGAGCCCCCCTGTGAGCCATCACTTATCACAGAGCTCACCTCCTTTCCCATTGCTCTTTCGTCTCCACTTGACCCCTTAAAAACAAAATTGATCAGTTATTCCTATAAAGTTTGAAGCTTTAAACCAATTTAATCAAATCTGATCTGGACGAACTCACTGACTTCTCAAGGCAAAGATTTGCTTTCTGGGTAACACTTGGCCTGAATTTCAAACAAGACAACCAAAATCAGCCTTCCTGCCTGCCTGTTGCTCTTGGACAGGTAGGAGCCAGATTTCCTCTATAGTAGTACTTTGAATTCATACATTATCTGGCCAAAGGAAGTGGACACCTTAGCATTAAACCCACATTAGATCACTGAACTTGAACCTGTTGCTGTAATAGGCTCCCCTCTTCCCCCAGTTTCCTGCAATGAATTTAATAGTAGGATCATATTCTCTCCAGCCACAAGAGCATTTGTGAGCACAGCCTTCTGCTATTTCTTTCTCATAGAATTCTAAAACTTATAGTACATTTAAATACTAAGAGTGCTATTGTATATCACTTGACACAGAATGACAATCACTCTCTTTTTGACCAATGAGCTGACCAGTCATATCTGTAAAGGCTATTAGGTAAGGGGGCATGGGCTTACCATGAACACTGAATTAGGATGTGTGTATTCTAAAGTAATTAAATATCTGGCTGCACACTGTATGCTTGAATAAGTTATTCTAATTTGATGAATGGTCTGTGTTTTGAAATTGGATCATTTAGTCTTACACAAAAATGCTAGAGGAATACACAAAAAGATCACAGTGTTATCTTGGTGATATAGACAGCATCTATGCTGACATATCTCAAGTAGATATAAAAGTAAAAACACATAATATACTGTCAAAAACACTATCAACAAGCTGGACTTTCATTTGCGTTGTCTCATTCACCTTTCCACACCACAGATAGATTCCTGATTGGCTCTTCAGTAAAAACACATCATTGGAGTTCAGAGAGGTGGCCAGGGCTGGAACCTCGATGGTTTTTGTGTTGGATGTGTCAGAACCACGGACCTGGAACAATCTTACTGGAGGTTCAGGGTCAGAGGACCCTTTCCTAGATGTGCCCCCCTGACAGAGAAAACAGAAACATGATGGTCCATAAGCAGAGCACATTTGGTTGGTTTATGCATATAGACACACAAACACGGACAACCACGCATTCACTTATAAGGAAAATCTGGAATGTCCAATCAACCTAACATGCAGGTTTTTGGACAGTGGGAGGAAGTACCCAGAGAGAACCCTTGCAGACATAGGGAAAACATGGAAACTCCATACAGAAAGATCCTGTTTTTTTCAGTAAATCACTGTAAATGCATTAATGGCTCTTACATCAAAGATGACCATTTTGCCCTTGAACATTGCCATGAAGTGTCTTGGCTCCTTGCCCATTGTTACTCTCACTTGAACTGGCTCGCCATTGTACTTCTGATCCAAGTCCACAGCCTGAAAGGCTGAGGCTGCCAATTCATCCTGAGTGGCCCGACGCCCCTGAGATAAGAGCACGAGAAGTTTAATTCATTACAGCATTACTATAAGACTGCTTTGTTGACATGCAATATTTTTGGGTGGTGATCATTACATACTGTTAGTGTCCTCACCTGCCAAATATAGAGCAGATAGCACTTCTTGCTGTTGACCAGATAAGTATAGAGGATCAGGTAACAGTCTCCTCCATAGAAGTATCCGTACCATTCAGGCTCCACAGGCACAAGCTCCAGATTCTCAATTCTCCACACCTGGGTCCAGGAAAAGTAAAGGCATTTTGAACTACCAGAGGTTATAGATAAGTTCTTACTAATTGGAGCTTTATGTCCAGCCTTCCCCCGTTTTCAGAGTGAGCATGTGTTGTTGCAAATACTGCACCTCCACTTGACCCGTGCCATTGTCCACCATTCTCTCCTGAGCAGCAACCTCCGGCATCATGTGCATCAGAGAGGCCTCAAATTTCTCCTGTGTGACGTGAGCTGACACAAAGATGTTGTCAAGGCAAAATCACAAATCTTTAAGCAGCCGATCACAACTCTCGTTTTTCTTATCTTCTGTGAGTCTGCGCGTACCAATTTTCCCCCTTGTGTGGACTTTTCCCAAGCCTTGAGTCTGGTCTCTCACAATCCACTTTTGGAAGAGCTGCTTGAACAGAGCTGACTCTGCCCCATCATTCACTGTCTCCACATTCGTAGTGATTGGGTAGTTTTTCGCTTTGATGAAGTCCTGTAATAGTCAGACAACCGGAAAAATGAAATACCAGATCAAAATGGCACAAGCTAATGCTGTACCTTCACTCACCAAAGCTCGGGACATGGCAGCCTGTCTTTCGGCTTTGTTGGCTTTTTTCCCTTTCCACACGAAGATCTTCGTCCCTCCTTGGTCCAGGATGTAGCAGTCCTAGCATGAGAGTTACGTGACGGTTTAATACTTGAAAAACTCCTCGGGTTCCTTGCAGAACTTCGTAGAAATAAAGCCTCGGTAAGAGTTATAGAAAAGGCTACATGTACTGTATTCTATCTTAGTTCATTACAGCACTAACTGACCTCACGGTTGAGCAGGTCCTGAACCAGTGGTCGTGCAGTAACCTCTGCCACCTTCATTTGACCATCAGCATCTGTAACGCTGGAATCAAATGTGCAAAAGAATCATCAGTCATTCAATACACATGAATGGTCACCCACATGAGAATCTCTGCGAGGGGGTGCGACTCACTGGTAAAGGGAGAGTTTAGATTTTTGTTCCTGATCAGCTGTTTGATCAGGAGAGCCCTCCGGCAACGCAGAGGTTCTTTCTCCGAGAGCGCTGTTCAAGATCTCCATGTTCTGAGGTGAGCTGCTCTCTGCATCGCCCTCAATCACTCTGACCTCGGCCCGGCCTCCTCTTTCTCTGTCTCGGATATCTTTGGCCAGCAACATGCCCTGAGCGGTTCAAGTGGCACAGAAACACTGAAGATTTGCAGCTTATTTCAAGTCATATCTAAGACCGTTTTGTGCTAGTACCACACCCATTTTATTGTATGTTTTTTCTTAGCAAATTCTAATTTAGATTCAATTATAAAGTGGTTTATATTACATTAATTACAGCATATAAAGCTACACGCTCACATAATAACATCTTATGGTGAAATAAGGTGTTATTGAGGAAATTCAAAAGTAGTGGGTAGATTGGCCTCACACTGGGAAATGGCAATTGCAGGAAGAAGGAAATGAGCTTCCATTTTACACACCCTGACAAGTCTGATGCTGAAAGCGTGTGGAGAATGGCTGATGTAAATCCTCAAAGTAATGCTACTTTACATGGGAGTTATTAGTGATTACTGGAAATGTAAGTCGGTTTGGTTTCTGCTGTTAAGTGTGTAAGCTATAAGGACAAAGCAAGGTTTCTGACATCACACACTGACACATTCTTTCCTGTAAAAACTCAATCTTAAAAACAAGGCACTGAGAATCTTACTTTGAGTTTTTCCTGTCTGTTACTCTTTGGCCCATTCCACTGAACAATGGTTTTGCCAATGTCCAATAAAAACACATCTCCAACGTTGAAGCTCTTCCAGCTCATTTCCACCTGAAACACGGCGAACATAAAGGATTCTTTTTACTTGACGTCTTCCATGTTTTTAAACCACTGGAAAACGCAGCTCACCTCAGTGGCAGTGACTCGTTTCTTTCCTTTCACATGAAGGAGTCTCTTAATATCATATGTGTTGGTTTCAACGTGCTTCATGCCTGTTGCAACTCCACCTTTCTTATAGCTGAACAAAACAGAATGGTTATCTTTCAGGTTTGCATCTTATTTAGGCCAGTGCTACCAGATTTGTTCACTCACATGATTCCCTGTTTGAAGTAGCCCTTGAAAGTATCAGACTCATGGTTCTGAGCCTCTCTGTGCTGCACCGGGGTGGAGCCTAAAAACTCATCCAGCTGTACGGTATAAACAGCCGCTGCGCCCTGTTCATCCTGAGAGGACTGTGAGCCGATCCAGTAATGGATATCATAAGACAAAGCGCTCTTCAGCTTCTGTGTCTGAAGAAATTCAAAAGTGGAGAGAAAGTGTCAAGGGAGGTGGATCGATATTAATCCAATATGAACCCAAAAGACAAAATTTTATGACGTGATTTTTAAAATGTGCAAAACTAACCCTTCAAAGAAAGTAGCATGTGGAAAAAAACTACAGACGTGCAATGATTCACATTCACAGACTTACAGATAGAAGTAGGTAGCAGTCTCCTTCATAAAAGTTTCCATGGGATTTTTCAGGAACTTGAACCAGCTGCATTTTCTGTTGCACAGACAACAGAGGAGGGGATCATTTTACTCCCTAGTTCACTGACTAAATTTACATCTCAGTAGAACGAGATCAAATCAGACAATTGGAGAAGAATAAACACTGAATCCAACAACTATGATAAAATTACCTCAATTCTCCAGATTATAATCCCAGGGTTATGAGTTACTGCTTTAAATGTGTACTCCATGATGCCTGGGTGCTCTCAGTCCGCCTGCCTGGCGAGGTAACTTTTGCTGAAAGAGGAAATTTAAAGCATTTGCCTCTACTTTAATTTTTTCATGTGCATGTTCCAAAATTGAGATAAAAAATCGATCACAACTTTCGAATAAAAAATCAAAACATACCAAGTATTCCTGTACAAAGAGGCTCCTCTAGGATCATCCAACAGCTGATTATCCGTCGGATGATAAGAGACCCTCAGTCCTCAGCCTCACTGTGCACCTGAAAGATTTGACTGCGTTTGCATTTTTAGGACATATCATTGTGCTCTGCCCAATCACGGAGGAAGAGTCAAGATCCTGATGCTGTAGGCAAATGTCCTGGGGAAAAAAACACTGACTCATAGTCAAATGGACACAAGGTAACACAGATCATCTCCATCACGTCTTTCTGCCATTGTTTGCTTTACAACCTTAATAACCCTGTACATATGTGGACAATCAAAACTACGAATGTACTGTCTTAAAGACAAAATAAAGCTTCTAAGGGCACATTCAGAGCACATGTTTGCCTGAGAGAGGGCCCACATAAACAAATTCGGAGAGAAACAAAGCGAAAAATGAGCAATGCCATTGCCAAGTCCTGACAGGGAAGAGGGAATTGACGAGTAAAACAGACTCACAAGCAAGTGGCAGAAGGGAACAGCACACAGCCTAAAGTCCTACACTCCAAAACTTGCTGAAGGTAAAAATACAAAAAAAATTGTTCCTGTTCTGTCCTCTATGTCATTTAAAAAAATACAATATTTGGCACACACGTGTTATCTGTTATCGGTAGATGGAAGTTCCTGCAGATCGAGTTGTAACCATCAGGGACAGAATCCCACTTCATGTACTATAGCGTGAAATCCCCCTCCGTTACAAATTAAGTATGATCACTGTGGGATATGAAATGAGCCAAGCCAGTCATCAATGCTAAAGTTGGGGAAATCTGAGGGGAAACATTTTCACTGTAGAGAACAGCATGGTCAGCCATATATTCTAAGTAAGAAATATGAGAAAACAAATCATGACTATTTGCGAGATGGGACTACTCATCTTTTTTTCTTTTAGATTTAAGGAAAAGTTGATGCAAGAACCAGATGTTTGTGCTGGTTTAACCAGCAGAGGGACAGATCCATGAAATGAGAACCAGCTTAGCAAATCTATTGAGAATGTGGATGTATGACACGTTGTCACAGGTTTGGATGAGAGCACCATTTTGTCAGGATTGTGCACAGAGCAGCCATTTTTGCCTTGTTAGCTTTTGTTTTGTTTGTTTGAAAGAGAGCCTACGCTACTAAAGATTGAAAAAGTTAGAAAAAAGGAGAAGTTGACAGATGTTTATCTTTTAACAATGAATAGTAGATATGAATTTAATAAAAAAATACTGGCTCTACAGATGAGGGGGACTTTAAGGACATCAGATCATTTTAATGGAAGTCATTTTGAAATACAAAATCTTTAAAAAAAAGCTAATGTCGGATTTTGAGGAACAGCACGATTCATGGATATCGATTTTCACATAGCAGCATACAGTTTGTTTTTTCTTTATAAAATATATACATTATTTTATAATGATTAAGAACTTGAGGACTGAAATTTAAAAGCTGAAAAAGCAATGCTATATAAACCTTCCAGAGGTTTTTACAAAAGCCCATTCAAATCAGCACATCCTTACACAAACCAGCCTGAACCCTCCATGATGCAAAGGAAAATGACCTCACCAGTAACCATGGGATAACCATATTTTGTTTATAATGACATAAAAAGTCCTTTACAAGCTGAAATGCAAAACAGCAACTGAATTGCAGTTGTGTGCAACTCAGCTGATCACCTGGACAGAATACAACAGGAAAGTCACACAGCTCATGGTATTTGACTACCATCCCATAAGGTTTACAAGACAGGGCGTGATCCATGAGACAAAATCATGTTTGGGTACAGATCTGGAGCATTGGAGCGGCCACCTCAGTCTTTTTCAGATGAATGGAGATTTGCTGGGAGCCACCAATAGACTTTGAGTTGACTTTCCCTTGCGTATGGTTATTATGAAGAAGATCCGGAGCCCATTTGTTGAGATGTCAGCAGGATGTCAGGAGGATAACCATTGTTGTGCATCAGCGTGTATGGAAATTATTCAGACTGTAAACCTACTTAAACAGCATTGAGATGGAATCTTTTTTTCTGCAACAAGATGAATCATATTTGAGAAATATATTAATGAAGGACCGATCAGTCCAAAACACGATCATTTGTAGAAAAAAATGTCGGTAAAAATAGTTTGTAGATGAACTTACAATGCGTTGACTATGTTCTCTAGCATTGCACCACATCATAAAGGACAGCATGATAATGGAAATGGAAATGGCACCAAAACACTGTTTGTGTTTACAGACGTACTGAAGTGGTGCTGCTAATATCAGCATGCAAAGTAGCTCATATGAAATGAAAAGCATACTGTTTTGGTTTGCAAAATGTATTTCCCATTTAATGCACACAAGGTGTGGTTGGTCTTTAGTTTAATGAAGGAGGCTGCATGTTTTCCTGCATATTGTTCAATGAAAAAACATGTCATATTGCTGTCACTCTTCTGTCATGATCACAGCGGCCTCAAAAACCACGGCATGTATGCTGCTTTGGTCTTAGTTTAAAACCATCTGTAAAAACATGGGAAAAAAGGAGAGAGAAAAACACTTCTGGGAAATCTGGTGCGGTTATCAAGCTTTTGTTTAACAAGGTGGGTACATGATTACAGAGGAAACCAGAGACAGTTCGAACTTTGATTCCTCCCTTTAATTTTCTCCTCTAAATACAGCATTTGTACTATGCTGTCACCAGCACAAAAAAATACAAAACATAAATCCTGCAATATAGCTCAATGAATGCATCTTAAAATCATAATAAAGGTAATGAAAAGTGCTAAGATTAACATTTTACTTTGTACATGTAACAAATAAGCAATAAAAAATTGTTGACATTGTCAGTGTTTTCAGCACATGTTCTCTGTATGTTTCTTTAGAAAAATGAATACCCGCTCATCTGCTGTAAAGCAACATTGCAAAAAGGCTAAAACCAAAGACAATCTTTTATTTGTTCCAAGTATACCCTTTTAAGTTTGACCTTTTGGCTTTAGTCGCTCAGTGAATTAAACAGGTGGAAGGTTTAGAGACTTTAAATTTTAGGTTGGATGTGTCTTGCAAAGTTAGGTCATACTCTTTAATGAAAAGAAAATGAATGGTGTGGAAACTCATTGCAGAGGTTAATAAAAGGTTTCCATTTCATTCTGACTATAATCACCAGCTTCCCATCAGCAGGATTAAAGTACCTCCCCGCTTCCATTTTTTTTTGCTTCCTCCTCCCTCATAACTTGTGTTTCTGTGCCATTTAAATATCCTGTGTCTCAAAGAGAGGAAATAATTGACAACATTAAAGTCAAATGTGTTTGGGGCAAAGCCCCAGTATACTATTTTTGATTTTGAACCGCAAACTTGAAATGGTCAGAATACAGTTAGAAATACAGTATCATGTGTTACCATCTCTACCAGATGGTTCTGGCTCCTCCCAGAAACCCTGGTAAAACATTCCAGCCCACCTCTGGGACTCTGCTGGCTGCAGCGCTCTCTCTTGCTAAACTCTGGTCAGGATTTTAAAAGGACCCTAAAAGTGACTGAACAGACAAAAAAACATGAGAGGATTTGTCATTTTGGTCACACTGGCCTGCTTTGCCTCCGCTCAGCACCAAGCGCTTATTGACTATTTGGAAAGGAGGCTGCTGGCTATTGAGGTAAGTCTCTCTTTCTATCCCTGCCGAGCCCTGAGCTCCAGAGTCCCCCTGAGAGGAAACTTTCAGGGACATGGCAGAGCCAATGGAATGCAGATGTGGGCAAAACCTGAGGAAAATGCAGGATTACACAGCTCTTTTACATGTATGGTTCCATGAGGCTGGTTGTCTTGGTTAAGAGTCAAACAAATGTAACAAACAAAACTCTGGACTTTGAGTGGAGATAGGCACTGGACAGTGTAAAAAAAAATAGAAAAATGACAGTTTGAAAATACGTGTTTGGTGTATTGGAACAAATTGGAAAAACTCCCACAGATTCTAGCCCCCTGTCAGAGAACTCATTTGTGAGATATGCACATTGTATTTCACTTACTTACACAACACTATCTAGCACAGAGACTAAATTCAAGTAAAGAATCTTCATGCTGGGGTCTTTTCATTCATGGTTCTGTTAGAGGCTGGAATAGGATACATCTACAAATCAAATTCATATCACATATCAACCCTCCTGCTGAGAATTTGACTTGTAAGCCCTATCTCTCCAAGACGATGGGGCACCTGTAGAAAGCATGTCTCCTCATTTCCGTCCTACACAGTGAGCAGCATAGGCAGTAGGAGCTTAGAGCAAAGACACTGAAGCAGAATGGATTCTAGCCACATGTGGGTTGCACCCTGTTGTTTAAAGGATGAGTTTTCTCTTTATTGCGGCCTTCTACTGCAATGCATTTACCGAGCCTGCACTGAACAGAATAGTGTTCTATGAGTCCTTTTGAAAGTACTAAATGACGGATGCATCTATATGTTGCTTAAGGCTACTCGTTATGCAGTGTTTTTTTCAGACTCAGGCTAAACATCTGTGTTAACAAACAGGACAGGATCTCCCTGTGGCATGAGCAGACAACCCGATACGCCTCGGAGCTGCGGGAGCTGAAGCAGCAGATGGTTTCACAGCTGGAGAATCTGGACAAAGAAAAAGAAGCCCTGCGAACGAACCTGGACGGCGTGGGGACGAGGGTGGACCGGGTGGAGCGGGAACTGGACTACCTGGAGACCCAGAACGGGGCTCAGCCGTGTGTGGACGTGGACGACAAGCTGATAGAGCAGCAGGTGACCCAGGTGAAGGAGAAGCAAAAGGCCAAGTATCTCAAACTCACAGGTGAGACTCCATGCGCCTAAAAGGAACTTTATGAAGAAATCTACACACACACACACAATGTAAAACAGTTTGGATTTGTCACATCTTTCTCATCTGCAGACTGCAGCGACATGATCTCGAGTATAAAAGCCATGAAGATCCTGAAGAGAGTCGGAGGGCCAAAGGGCATGTGGACCAAAGACACCAGCAGAGCGTCTGGGAAAATCTACGTGTTTAACGGGACCGACGAGGACACCGTCAACCAGTTTCCCTCTCTCCAGGACTTCACTCGCTCCCCGGGCATGTCTCTGTCAACAGACCTAAAGCTCCCGTCTGCCTGGAGGGGGACGGGGCACGTGGTCTTCAACCACCACGTGTATTACGTCAGTCTGGCTGAGGAGATCTCGGTGGTTAAATACGACACGAGAAATAACTCGGTGACGGACAGCGCTGTGTTCCCAGTGCAGGACCACGTCCCTGTGTACGGCCTGACCCCCGACACCCTGATGGACCTGGCGGTGGACGAGGAGGGCCTGTGGGCTATTTACGCCACGAGGCAGAACGAGGGCCACATCTCTGTGGCCAAAATGGACGCCGACTCGCTGGACGTCGAGCAGATGTGGGACACAAACTGTCCGAGAGAGAACGCGGAGGCGGCCTTCGTCATCTGTGGCACCCTGTACGTGGTGTACAACACCAAGCAGCCGGGACGCTCGCGAGTGCAGTGCCTGTTTGATGTCAACGACATGGTGAGCAATGAGGAGGCACCTCTGGTTTACTTCCCCAAACGCTACGGCTCTCACTCCAGTCTCAAGTACAACCCGCAGGAGCAGCTGCTGTATGCCTGGGATGACGGCTACCAGATCCTTTACAAGCTCATCATGAAAAAGAAGCTGGAAATCTGAGCAGAAAAAATCTACAGCATATTTCTAACTGCTGAAAATGTCCAGTTTCAGATGTTCGAATGTGTCTTCACTTATCTTTTCAGGCAGTGTTTTAGTTGGGGGGAGGGGGGGGGGACACAATGTATTCATTAAACAAGTTCATTACTGGAACCAATTAGTCATTTATCTTACTTTAGTAAGATAAACTGAGAAATGTTGCGAGCAGAACTAATTCAAAACAATGGTTTGCAGAATGGAGGTTTGTCACAATAAGAAGCATCTCTTACATCATACATTGTTCATAACGTAGAAATATTGATCACAAGTAGTTTAAGATTTTTCATAAACATGCTTATTGTGATAAATTCTAGGTATGATTATACTCTCACATTCATTGTGAATGATACCCTTGATATGTAAAGAGGCATTTTGTGATTTGAAGACTGACATCGTGTTTCTAATCAGGTTACACTGCACATTTACCTTTATTCAATTATTGTCAGCTGGTGAGTGGACTGGAATAAATGGGCTGTATTTGTGCCGGTGAGGTCATGTGTGACTAGTTTAGCTGCTCTGAGTCTGCTTTATAATTTCTCACAGACCAAGTCTGTCCATTTCGCTTCACATTGAATTTTTCTGTCTAAGTAAGGATTCGCTCTGTGCAGAGGTCACTGCCACAGAGGCACACAATCATTTTTATTCACTTTTTAGGTTTCAGCAGCATATCGTTCATTACTAAGAAGGGAAAAAAAATTCAAGTATTCAACATACCAGATTAAAGAAATGTTTAATCCAGAGGAAAGGAGTTAAAAGTACAAATGCTTAATTTTAACTATGGCTGGATTTATAAGAAAGCAAAAACAGGCACAGCATCACTGGTATTTGTGTGAGAACTCGCTAGCTGGCTAGCACTGTTATATTTCTGTCTATGCAGTAGGTGTTATGTTTTACTAAGCATCACCACTATCTGAATTGCAACTGATATAATGCAGTTATTTATATACATGTGTATCCTTTCCTTATTGTTTGGTGTTGCTTGTTTTCACACCGATTTGTTTTATCTGACCAATCATTATAAAATATAGAGCAAAAGCATCCCGGTTGTGGACTTTGTGGGCAGCATGACGAGATACAGACAGGTTCAGCTCCTGATATTTGAAAGTTTCCTGTTTTGGTTCACCTTGTGCTTAATTGGTTAATACTCTCTATGAGTTTAACCAATAACGTCACATTTGGTTGCAGAGCACAGCTCAGAGGAGCATTCAAAATGAGACACGTTAACTGTACAATGTACGGATTCCAACACAGAATTACTGAAATACGTTTATTCTTTTTTAAATTGGATATAAACTATATCTATAAAAACTGTTTATGTTTGGATAAAATCTAATAGAATAACATTACTCAGCAATTTCAATTCTGTTAAAAAAAAAAAATCACACCAAACAAAGGTTCAGTTTTAAAACACACTAAAATAAAAAAATGCCGGTGGATGATCGCTGTAATCTCAAGTCCTCTTTGTACCGGCTGTTTTACATCAGCTTACTGCTTCCTGTACGGAAAGTCATCACTTCCCTCAGAAGCTTCTCAGGCTTACAAAGCACGTGTTATTGGCACTACCCCATAAGTTTCTTAAATTGTTCTAACCCGAAAACTTGAATTTGGGCATCAGAAATCCAACATTTAATTTGAAGCAGCGAATTTAAGAACATGCTCTAAGGCATCAGACTGACATTAGTCATCCTGAATGACAAACAACACTTACTTCAAATGTGGCAGGTGCATGTAAATATGCTAAATAATTATTTTAGAAGTACAGTCAAACACTTAGAACTATCATAACATTGTAGCTGAAATGTGTGCAAAAACTTTGCACACATCAACCTGTGCGAGGACAGAAGAATCCAACGTGCCCTGCAGTGTCCACTTTCTCCGTCTAATCCAGGCACAGACGTGAAGCTTGGTATGGTGGTCCCGACTGCTTAGCATGTCGATGGCATTTCAAGAGCCCTGTGTTTGAACTGGTCAGAGTCTGAGATGAGGGACCGGCATAGTGACGTCACGGAAGAACCGATGTACAAGTGCATTTTTGGCAGAAAGCCTTTTGTTTGGATCATAGTTCAGCATTTCCTACAAAACAAAAAGACAGTCACCACAATGAAAGTTGTAAAACGAAATAGGCGAGGAAAAAGAGATTAGCTATTCAATAAAACAAAAAAAGATTACCCAAATTTCCAAGCCAGCAAAATATTCTGTATTTTTGCCAGTTTCTTTGTCTAATCTCTCAAACTAAATCTGCTACTACATCCATTTTAAAAAGGTCAAGATAGAATCAAAATGCACTCACTCCAAGTAACTCTCTTCCATCCTCATCAAGCAGAGGCACCACTTTGGATAATTCCTGCCGAGCCCACTTGGGAAAAGATGGTTTGTAGTCGGGCATGGATGTGACTCCAGGCCAGACGGTCTCATCAGGTGTGCCCAAGGTGCGGAAGATTCTGAATAACTGATCAATCTCTGAGTCGCCGGGAAATAAAGCCCTCCTGGTGATCTGAGGTACAAAACGCTGGTTACATTTCAACTGACGTCCCCCCGCCTGCCCGTCTAAAGACAGATGAAGTTCAGTGCATTACCATTTCAGCAAAGATGCAGCCCAAACTCCAGATGTCAACAGCGGTGGAGTAGTACTTGCAGCCCAGGAGAATCTCTGGTGCTCTGTACCAAAGAGTTACCACCTGAGGAATCAAATGGAAGCAAAGTGATTATGACAAAAAACACAATTTCTATATCAATCAACCAAAGTAAAAAAAATAAATCAATAAAAACAAAGACCTGCAGAGAGTGAGTAGTACCTCATGTGTGTACGTGCGAACGGGCACTCCAAAAGCCCTTGCCAAGCCAAAGTCAGCCAGCTTGATTTCACCCTGTGCATTGATGAGGAGGTTCTGGGGCTTCAGGTCTCGATGAAGGACCCTATGAGAATGGCAGAAGGCCAGGCCTTGCAGCAGCTGGAATAGGTAGCTCTGCAAACACAAAAAACATGTGTCCGGATGAGAGACTTCAAACGTTTACGTGTAGCTTTTTCAATGTGTCCAGAAAGTTCTGAAGAGGACTTTTACCTTGACCAAAGGCAGCGGGATGCCAGTGACAGAGGAGGAATCCATAAACTTTTTTAGATCCTGATGAAGGAACTCGAAAACGAGGTAAAGTTTGTTCTCTGTGTGGATGACATCTCGCAGTCTGAAACACAAACAGCCCAGCTCAATAACTGCCGCTCAGATTGGCGTGAGGGTCCTGCAGGCACGAGTGAAAGAAAGTTGGACTATTAGGAACTGACTTGACAATATTTGGATGGCTGAGCTCTTTGAGAAGTGAGATTTCTCTGATGGCTGTGCTTGGTACTCCCTCGGTTTCCCTGGAAATAACAAACAGAATCTCTCAGATTTTGACACTTTTCCAACAACATTGGCAAATAATATTCGTTTTTTTCGTCTATGGCAGCAGGAAGTCGGAAGCTTCCACAGCTCGTATTGAGTTCAAAACAATTTAAACATTCAAACGCTTCACAAATCCTGAAACCAAGTGGCCGTGGAAGTGAAATAACAAGGTAACAACGGCTTCTAGTTTTCACTTACGTGTCCAGCCTGATTTTCTTCAGAGCAACAGTTTCTCCTGTCACTTTGTTCTTTGCTTTGTAAACCACACCATAAGTCCCTTCTCCTATCTTCTCCACTTTCTGGAACGTATCCATATTTCCCCCACAAACACTGGACTATCTGTGTGTTAGCTTCTGAGCGAGACTCGTGTCTTTGTGTCGGTGCTAACAAATGCTCGGCGGCTACAGACGTTAACCAGCAGCGCGGGGACCGACATATAATGAGCGGCTGCTTCCAGTAACTTCATGTGTTGTAAGCAGCACACCGCGGGAGGACGGGGTTCCCGTCGAGGATAAACTCTCTCAAGACTGAGCGGGACAAAACAAAGAATAAAACGGTCCTACGTGGACAGTGGTGGTCATGCTATGTGTAAATATGAGTATTAGCGTGGCGGTTGCTCCGCTGTAGCAAACATTGAACCAATACAGCATCGTTTCCCGCGTTCTGCCGGGAGACGTTCGTTTTTGTCATGAAGATACACCGAATGAATACCGAGTGTTTTGTTGTTAAACTACGTTTTCAGAAACATACACTCTGTAAACCGTTTCATTAAGTATATAAGTGTCAAATGAAATCAATTTAATATGTATTTTTATCCAACAATGTTTCAATCTCAACTCATTCCGGGTTTATTGCACCATGATCTGAGTTGAGAAAAGAGATGGTGGTTCCTCGGGGTGACACGGAGAGGAGAACAAGCATCCCTTGTTGGTCAATTAGTAAAACGGCGATGATGTTATACGCAGAGGTTTTGACGCAACGTCGTAGGAACAAGGCGGTCTTACGTTTTTATTGAGCTCTGATTATTGATTCATATCTCAGCTGGACCCTGTGTCAGTTTTCATTGGGCGAGTTTTCAGTCCACCACACGGTTTCTTAATTTCACAATAATATATTTTTTAGCTTTCTTACAGAGTGTACATACTTTTGTAAACTGGAATTTTTTTGTGTGTTTTTTTTGCTGTTCACTGTTTTCAATCAAATTAAACAAATGCAAACTTCCTCTGACTTGGTGTAAAAACAGTTGGGGCTTAATGGAATTTTGCTCTAGAGAAATGTTAACAAAATATAACCTACATTGAAATCAACTGGTAATTATCTATGACTATATTTACTATCTTTGATTATTTACATTGATAGACCTTTGTAAAAATCTAATTTATAAAAAAGGGCTTATCACTGATACAAATGCATATATTCAATTGAAAGACAAGCTCCTTCGTTCCTCTTTACCATTGTTAATAAAAGCACTTTTCGTTAGTAGATATGGACACAAAGTTAATATGTAACAATTTCACAAAAGGAAAATTCTCTTTCGTTTGAAACATTGAAACTTGGCAAAGTAGAACAATCATCTTTTACTAATGAAGCACAGATCAGATGAGACACAGGAATAATCTCAATTAAACCTCTCCTCCAGTATTTTTTCTAAAAACAGTTTGAAAAAAATGGTACCTTCACTATTTTCCCAACTATTTTAGCTTAAATATGATGTACTCTGTTCAAAGTAAAAAAAATATGCTGCAAGTTGGCTCTCAGTATTCCAGCGTTGCCCACAGAGCGCACAGGACAGTGACTAGCCCACTCTAGTGGCAGAAAGTATTGCGATCCTGTTTGGTTACAGAGCACTTCTTATTTGAGATTTGAATGTGAAAATCCCAATCAGATGTTATCTTCAAAGGTTTTTTCTGCTATGCTCAAAATAAATTTATACTTAGATAGATATACTGTATTAAAATGTGAACTATGATTGATCACAAGTCAGATGACCTTTCCTACACGAAGGAATGATATGTCTGCACATTGTGAGTTTTCATACCAACACTACACATGATCAGAGCCCAGGGGCTAAAAAGGCAAAATTATGTTACTGAGTACTACAGAAAGGCTGTTCTCCTTTATCTACATTTCAAGTTATAATTATATTCAAAATCTTCCTCTAAAGATGAAAAGTACAATAGTTAGTTTCTCAGAAGTTATGAGTGTTTGATATTTACAAAAGAAATAGAACAAACAGCAGAATGTTTCATCTATCATTTTTCAGCACACTGAGGGAGTTTGGTGCTCTTTCATTCATGCCTCTGTTGGGTGTAATGAAATTTTTCGTCCGGGAAACTCATTCATCCTATTGTCAGTGTGATTATCACATCACATTGGTTTGTTTGACAAAACCTCTCTTTATCACTATACACTTTATTTTAAAAAAGCTATCTTGAGAGAAGAAAATGTATTTTTTTTACCTGCTGTGTCATCATAAATTTTTTTATTGTGTCATTGAAAATGTTTCAAACTATTTTCTGCGTTTTGATTCGGGGTGATTTCTGTCCCACTGGTGTTTGACAGAACAGATCCAAATCAGTTTCTCTGATGCATGAATAAACTTAGTGACTTTTGCAGTGGCTGTGAACTGATTTTCCCTTATGACCTGAACCAGACAGGCTCATTGATCTGCTTTTATACTGCCTTTCATTTATTTTTCACAGTCAGTTCAAGCTGTTCCAAAAGCTAGTTCAATATTCAAGCTCCAGCAATAGCTGCAGTATATAAGCCAACCAGAAACTTTGTGTAGCTTCCCCTCAGGTTTTGCTTAAGTTTTGATATTATAAAAGAGATTTCCACCAGGTCCCCGAATTTCATTGCCATCATTACCAAGATAACATAGAGCGGAGATTACGGAGGAGAGAAGCTAAAGGTCGGCAATTTGTGGTATGTTAAGTCAGGTGCTCTTTGGGGGATTTATTTCCTCCTGAACTCTGTTGTGAGCACGAGGGGTCACATGCAGTCTCAAAGGCATGAGACAACATCACTGAGAAAACCAAGTCACAGGGAGGCGAGAGCCTAGAATGAGTTTGTCTTCTGAGTTAAAAAACTAGTTATGTATATCAAAAAGTTGGAAAAAAACAAAAGAAGAAAAACGTTAAAGTGGAAAAGTCGTTAATAAAACTTTATATTGGTGCTTTAGTCGTCACTACCCTTCTGCAGGTTTTATGGAAAATATGGCTTTGTCCAGAATAGATTTGAAATACTTGTGAAAAAAACAAACTAACTCATAATCATATTAAATATCATGTAAACAAAAACTTTAGAAATATGTGTTTTTGATAAGCATGAGATATATTTTCACACAGTGAATATTCTTATTTTAATGCTAACTTTATGGAAATTTTGTTTGAGTATTATTATTTGTCAAACTTTTGTGAAATTAACTTTTATTGAGACACCGCTGTGATGGACTTATTGGTGTTTTCTTGTTTGACTGTACTCCATAAAGCCTGTATACTGGGAAAAAATTTACAAACAAAACAATTTCTTTTTCATTTTTTAATTCAAGTTTTTTTGGAAAATGCATGTTTACAGTGTTGCGATAAAAAGTTGGATTCAACTTTTTTAATCAATGGAATTCAAATGTTTTATTCCTCTGAACAAGAGTTTGGAAGATCTGAGTAAGGGTGTGACTGCCTTGCTGCAAGCTCAGAGTCACTGAGCTTCCCCAGCCTGAGGTGAACAGCAGGATACGGAGAAAGGACTGAGAAAATAAAAGGATGCTATTGAATGGGTGTCCACACTGCAATCTTGTGATGTCCATGCACACATAACTATGAGGTCATATCTCACACTGGGGCATGACTCCAGGTCTGCTACCAGTTCTCAGTCTAAAAGACATCACGTTAAAAAATGTTATTCTTAATATTTTGAGTATTAATCAGTGTTCCAGTAATGAAAAAAAGGATTTTTATCTCAAGATTGTCATTTGACTTGTTAAGTTGCTGAAAATAGCTAGAAATGTGTTTATGTTAACTTGTTTAAACACTTGTGTGAAGCACCTAATTAATGTTGGTTCAGAAAAAATAACTGAAATGTTGAATTTAAAAAGTGCCATTGATGAATGAAAACAGGGAATTATGGGAAAAGACAACTTAAGACCAAAAAGCTGCACTGTTTTCGGCGAAGGGGGCGGTGCTAGTTTAAAGACTGATGATGTCAGAGGTGAGAAGAAATTTTATGGTAATTTAGGTCCAAGGCTGTCTTAAAGAGAGTGGGGAAGTGTTTGTGAGGTCTCTCTGGGGGAGTTGTGTTGGGAATCAGGTCTACCGGGTTAGGATCGGGCACAGAGGAGAACAACCAAACACAGGATGAGGACGGTGGTGCTGCTCGTTCTGGCCTTTACCTCTGCCATGGCAATTAGTAAGTACATCCACAAATACTGACAGCTCAATGTTTTTCTTATTATTTTGTATGAATTAATTTGCCATGTGAGTACTAAATATAGCTCTGCAAACAAAAAGTTTGCAATCATTTGTGACTTTTCTTGATCTTTGTTTCTCAGAGCAGGTACGCTTGATTCTCAATTCACTAAAATCTTCCACATTCACAAAATGCAAGCAAGAAAAAAAAGAAAAGAAATGCATTTTATTACTAATATGCTGTCATTTTATTGTCAAATTAAAGATTCATTATGAGAACAGATTTTATTTAGATTAATGTGTTAAATGTAAATAAACTTTTAGTAAATGGTGAGCTCACATCTTATTCTTTGTGTTTGTTTTTCATGCTATGGACAGCCAAATAAACAGATGGTTCTCTGATTTCACACTTGTTTCATGTTAAGACACTATGTGGGAAAAATTGAACAAACTTTTCCTCGCCAAATTAAAGCAATTCGAATATTTCGTCAAGGCTATCTGCATTTGTTATCCTTAAATGCTTTCCAACTTTGAACAATACATTTTGACAATGTAATTTGCCCTTTCTAAGACATCTTGTGTTACCCATGAGAATCTTTTGGTGCCCTTTTACCTGCTTTCACATACACATCACTACCCAGGAACAACAGCCAGGGAGCCAGTGTCTGGGAGCCCCATTCCACATACTGGGATTACTGATGCTCAGCTGATAGTCACATGAAAAGGATTGAGGGGGATTTTTGGCCATGTGACTCCCACCGCAAAGAGCTGTGACACCCCTCACCCCTACCCAAAAAACATGGCGCCCTTGCTTAAGAAACTAAGACATGACTTTCATACCTTCATTAAAAAACTGAAGTTAATGCTGCAACTGAAATCTCTTTTAGAGACCAATGCACTTTTATAAACTTTTTTTCCAAAAACCATTTCATACTTTGGAAAACCTTATCAGTAATTTATTTCCATTGTTGACGTGGCATTGTTTCAGGACAAAGAAGTGATTTCACACGTTACCGATCATGGAACTCTCGGATGTATCCGGTGTGGCAAGATGGAGATCCAAGATTCAGAAACTGTTGGTTTGGTGAGGCCCATTTGTTTGTTTGTTTTTCTTTTGCCTTTCTATGCGATTTATTTCCGAATAAGTCAGTCCAAAGATGTCAAACTGTGTCTGATACTTTTTCGCAGGAGGTGAGGTGACCTTTGATCTGAAGAACGACGCGCCCACCCTGACAGGAGCAAAGGCAACCTTCTCTATCAATCTCAATTTCCCACCTAACCAAACAGCGCTGCCTGATGGACAGGTGGTGTGGGCCCGTAACTGCACCATCAACGGTAACATAACTACCACATTATTCCTGATACAAAAAGGAGGGGAAGTGACCATTACAGCAAAATGCTGCATTATTTGCCAAATATTTTACCCTGTGGATTTGACCAATTTCTACTTGTTTCATAGTAAACACAAAAAATGTTGAAGACCAACATTTACCCTTTCATTTTAATTCAACAATCTTGTTAATTCACATCCGGTTTTGTTGTCGATTTGCTGTGTCTGATGTAAATCTATCACATGAGCGTGTAATGAACGGTCGATGTCTTTGTTTAGGACGCGAGTATCGGGAGGGTCAGGCTGTGTATCAAAACCAGAATCCGGAGTTGACTGGAGTTTTTCCTGACGGCACACCTTTCTCTGGGAGACAGAACAAGAAACCTCGCTATGTGTTTGTGTGGAAGACATGGGGTAAATAATAATATTAAAGTCACATTGAAGCACAGGCTACTTTTTATCAAATGTTGTGCATTTTGAAATTGTTTTAATGTTGGTTTACTTGCGACATAATCTCTTTTCATTTAAATTCTGTTTTGGAGAAAAAAAGAAAAATTGGTCTTTACGCCAGTTAGCAGAAGTTTTGTGTTAATGTCCTATGGTTTCCAATGAGCCTGTAAAGACATTGATTCATAATAATTCATGACCATGTTACTATTTTGAGGACGTTACTGGCAGGTGGCAGATGGACCATCCTCCTCACTCACCATCGGAACAGACAACGTAGCCCTGGGATCGTACAACATGGAGGTCGTCATCTATCACTGCAGGGGAAAAGACAAGTTCATCCCCCTCGGCTATGCTTCCACAGTCTTCACCATCACAGGTGACCTGTTAAAGTATTTTACGTGCCTAAACCTCACCCACATCTCATCCTAACTGCTCTCCATCTTTCTGTCTGTGTCTTCAGACCAAGTTCCATTCAGTGTATCGCTAGCTCAAGTCAATGATGTGAATCAAGACGACCAGAACTTCATCCAGAATCAGGCCATTGCTTTTACCGTCGCACTCCATGATCCCAGCCAGTACCTGAACACTGCAGACATCAGCTTCAGTTGGGACTTTGGTGACAACAGTGGAACGCTGATCTCTAGAGAGCGCTCAGTCACACACACCTACCTCACGGTAGGAACCTATAAACCTCAAGTGGTCCTGATGGCAACAATCCCTAATCAATGTGGAAACCCAACTGCTGGTAAGACTTTGAATTGATTGCAGCTCATTTATTTCCGCCTGTTTGATTTACTCAGTTGCACTTCTCTTTCAGTTGTTCCAATGGACGCCTCTGCGGCTCCCGCTGTTGTGGTCATGGCGTCCACCCCTGCAGCCGTCCCAGTTGAGGGAGGGGATGCAATTGCACTGGATGTCCCTGCGTCTGAAGCCACTCTGCTCGCTGCTTCTGTACAACCTGCCGCAGACACGGTGGACGAAGTGCCAGTCGTTGACACCGACACTGGCACCGTGGAGGTTGCCACGGTGGTTCCCGCAGTGGTGGATGCCGCAGCTGTTCCGGCAGAGCAAGATCCCGCCGGCACTCCTGCTCCTGCTGCCGCAGAAGAAGATGCTGTGGCCACTGTTGCCCCGGTCGCACCGGCTGAGGCTGAGGAGCCGGCAGATGCTGAGACAGCTGCTGAGGACAACACAGCTGTGGTGGCAGATGCGGCTGCCTCAGCTGCTCCGGTCCCAGTGGGAGAGGCGGTGGCAGTTGAAGGCGCAGTCCCTGTGACCGCTGCCCCTGAGGCAGACGCGGCCGCAGAGGAGGAAGCTGCCGTGACGGCCGCTGTCCAGGCTGCTGACGATACAGCAGCTGCCACAGAGGAGGTCGCAGCTGCAACTGAAGCACCAGCCGATAACGTTGTGGCCCTTGCTGCCACAGAGGCCACGGCCGTAGAGGCGGCAGCACCAGCTGCCACTGCTGCAGAGACGGAGGCCGAAGTGCTTGATGCTGAAAATGTGGTCGCAGCCACTGTGGCCGCCACAGGTGAAGACGTTCAGCACATGAAAAACCTGAACAGACAACTGAAAATAAAATACTAATCCCTATTTTTACTATCAATTAATAGCTGGAGATGAAGAGGCTGCTCCGGCCGAAGGTGAAGTTCAGACTGAAGTGGAAGCTGACCCTGCACAGGTTGCCCTTGTCGTGGCCAAAAGACAAGCGCCAGAGCTGACCGCCGACTGCATGATCTACCGCTATGGCTCCCTCGCTACATCTGTAGATGTCGTGCGTAAGTTGCAGTTGCGCCAGTTTCTGGTGTGCATCAAAATATTATTGATATGATTGTTTAATGTGATCAAAATGTCTCTGTTTAATCTCAACCACGCAGAGGGTATTGAAAGTGTACAGATTGTTCAGGTGTCCAATGTGGTGTCGATGGCGACTGAGTTGGATCAGAATGCTGTGGATGTCACCATTTCCTGTCAAGGAAGGTGCGTTGTACATTAATGAAGAAGCAAATTCATTGGTAGAATGACCAATCCCTTTAGTTTATCTAAAGTCTGAAACCAAAGACATTCCCTGTCTTTGCTTCCTGTTTCAACACACCTGATTGACACCAATGCATCATTAGCAGGCTTGTGTAAAACTCAGAATTGCAAGAGATCCAGTTACCGTAGTCAGAATGAGGTCTGTAGATGCATTCAAATATCTAAAAACTGCAGGACATCAGCCATTAAGGACCTCCAATTCCTCAGCTACATGTAATGCATATAATACATGTAGCTGAACAAAACACTGTCAAACTATTTGGAATAATTTAATCCCTAGAATATGTTAACACTGTCATGTGTAATTTCTTATTATGTATTGCCTTTGGTAAATGTGAACTAAGTGTCAGATTTTTAACATCTCCTCTTTTATCAATGCCTCACCTGTCAGCCTGCCGAGCCAGGTCTGCACTGTGATCTCTGATGCTGACTGTATCACACCGGTCCAAACCATCTGTAATGCAGCTGTGCCCTCACCAGACTGTCAGATGATCCTCCGTCAGTTCTTCAACGACACAGGGGTGTTCTGTCTCAACGTGTCGCTGACGAATGACGTCAGTCTTGCTGTGACAAGTGCTAGAGTCAATGTAGCTGTAGGTGAGTGAGAGGAAAAAGGATGCCATTGCCCTTAAAATGTCTTCTAAAGATTTTATTTTTTTCAAATGTAAATTGTTCAATTTGTTTCAGCTTCTGGGGATTCCCCAGCTGGAACTGCTGCCACTGTTCTGGGCGTCATGGTTCTTGCCTGCGTCGTCTGCTGTATGGGTTTGATGTACAGGTCAGTGTCTCATTAAATGATTTACATATCTATGTCCATAATTATTAAGATAAAAACAAAACAAAAAAATTGAAGAAAAGACATAAACTCTATCACAGATTCTAAGAAAAAGGTGCTATAATCACAGCATTTGAGTAAAATATCAGCTTTGCATTTTATGAAAATTTCAATGTTTTCTTTAACAGACATCCTGAGAATCAATGACAGATTTCTCATCTCATGCAAATGCAGGGCCAACAGACAACCTTTAAACAGCTAGTTATATTATGTACAAATGACATCAGTCCTCAGACACTTGTGTGAATGGATTCATGTAAAAACAAAAAAACAAAAACAAGAATATAAGTGGAAAAATGAAGCTCCGGCTTTTGAGATAATCGAGAACAAGAGTTCAAATTGGCACCTTTACAAAACAATAAGTTAATTGATGCCTTCCATTGATACCATTATGCCTGCACAATTAGCTCTTCAAACCAACTAAACTTTCTTTTTTTTAATAATTCTTAAGCATGTCCAACCATTTAGATATGAATGTTAATTATTCTTAGCTAAGAGCCTTATATTGTGAGTTTTTCACTCAACTTTTTATTAAAGGATTGATTTTGGATCTCTGTTTTCTTAAATCCATGATGGATCAAATATGTAGCTTTTTTTGGGTCAGTCACTGCTAAACTTTCATAAAACATAAATTATTTCTCCTATCTATTTAGAATTTGTCTTATGTCATTTCTCTTTGCGTCGCCTGTGTTGTGCATTTAAAAAGGCGCTTCAAGCAGTACCAGCCCCTGAGAGAGGAGCATGAGGCTGGGAGCAGCTTTGGAGTGACATCAGTACCTTTGCTACTGTGGAACCTGCTGAGTCGACAGTCACCTGGAGAAAGTCGACCATTACTTCAAGGAAGGATTGTGTGAAACCTCAATACATTTATGCACTCAACATGCCCAAGATCCACTAAGATTTTGGCTTTGTAAGCGTAACAGCACCTGTCCTGATAATGTTACTCCCTGCAAAGAAACCAGGCAGTTATGTTGAGTGAACCAGACCTGTGTAAAACACAAATTTGTAAGAATACAGGAGTTTTTCCCAACAAGTTATATTTATTTTGTCCTATAACATCCTTAAAATTGGTTATGATCAGTCATAGGAACCATAACATATCTTATTTCTGGAATACTTAAATATTAAATTTCCTAACTAATAATTTGAGTTCAGTTTCTTTACAGTCATTATGATCAAATTTATCACTGAACGTTATCATGTTTTCTACACTGAAATGAATAAAGTGGTACATTAACATCTTTCTCTTTTTGTCTGATGTGTTTCATTAGTTTTTTCCCATAAAGTGAAAAGCAGCAGAAAAAAGATAAATGACTTACAACACTTTTACACTTGAACTTACAAGAGACTACAAGACTACAAGACCAAAGGTAAAAAGGTTATTTTTAAAACAACATCACGCTTTCACCATCATCTCTCAAAAATCTGTTATATTTTTCTGATTATATTAATATATTGATATTAATGATAAATTATTGGCAGTCTGAAAGATTTTTCCATTCCTTCATTCCATCAGCTTTTACAAAATTCAGGGAAAGGTTAAAGGGGATCTTGGACAAGAGCAGACTACAAGCTAAATGAGACATATTGGACGCATATCATGTATGTGGAAGATATGGATCTAAACACATGTTTAGTGGAAACATATGCTGCCAGGAAGTGCTGTGGTAATAATAAATCTGCTCTTGGTTGCAAAACAATAAATATATAACTGTCAATTACTAATCCATAAGAATGATTTAATATTATACTGTAGACTCTCTTCATGTATCATACTGCTGCACTATGTTCTATGACACACTGCAGTGCAGGAATAGAGACTGACGTCATTGCAGCAAATTATTAAATGGAAGAAGCTGGTCTAGCCATCATGGTATGAACAAGGGAGCAGAACAACGGGAACAGAACAGGACAGATGTTTCTCTTGCCTGCATTTATGGATAAAAGTTTGCATTACTGATAACAAAACTACTCTATTTCCTCAGCTATGTCGCTGTTAAAGGCTCTGATGTCATCAAGAGAGCAGGATATGTCAGAAAAAGTCAAAATTGTTAAACCTTTCTTGCTTAAATATGTTGGGACATTATGGGGCAGTTTGTACTGACACGTGCTGTTAATGTACTCAACACTCCACAATGTTCTTTTTGCTTACAGTGCATTTGAATGTCAATCCAACAGACTTGTGTAACACTGCAGTATTCCATTATGTTAATTGTCAAACGGAACTATCAATCTTGCTCAACCAATAACATGTCTCCCTGCCACATGTATCCAATGCTGTTCAACCCTCCCCACTCAGCCCTGACTCGACACTAAAGAGACAACACAACAGCCCTTCTGGGAGGACATTATTTTTCGGGCTTGATCTCTATCTCAGCCCATACAGCAAAACAGATTTTAATAGGTTGCTGCATCATCACAAAGCACATAACTACCACACTCAGAGCTGCTATCTAAACCACAAAAGAAAAATTCATATTGTCTTCTTTGTTTTTGCTTTTTCACATTCGTTCAATAAAATTTGGACTTTAAAGTAGGCACTGAATGTGGAAATGAGTCAGTGAGGTGACACCAACCCAGCGGCGACACAGCTCTGATTAATTTGAACGACGTTTTATTACTCACCACTCCCTGGCAACGGATCTTAAAAGGATGTTGTTACCTTCATCTGTCCTCAGTGAGGCAGGAGCTTTTACAAGACTGGAGCCATAAGTACCACTGCAGCCTCCGATCAGCATTTCTGCCACATTAGCCACTTCACCTCCGACCATAAATCTGTGCTCTCACAAAATCCCTCCCCCTTATTGTATCAGTAATAAATGCATATCTATACTGTCAATAATATATTGTTCTATATAACAAATTAGAGTAACTCTGTGCTCGCTTTAGATAATGACTGTGAAATATCATTGGTTTCCTTATTGATTATTGACAGAAATAGAAATCTTGATTGAGTAGGCACTGTCCAATGAAGAAACAGTCAGCCTATATTAGTCTAAAATGATTATTTTTTCAGTCAACTTTTGAACATCATTCTGACTCAATAAAATCTCTGTGAAAGCACAAGCAGTGACAGCACTGTGAAGTATGCCAACCAATCATCCATCCATCCATTTTCTGAACCACTTAGTCCCAAATGGGGTCGCTGGGGGACTGGAGCCTTTCCAAATATTCAATGGGCGAGAGGTAAGGTACGCCCTGGACGGTCCGCCAGTCCATCACAGGTACTAACAATCATTTAAAACCAAAACTGCTGTTAAGCTGATCAATTCTAAGTTAATATCTTACACAGTTTCTGTTTTTATGTAACATTACCTTTTTGTTGGCGTTACAGCCGGTTCTAAATTTGATCAGATTTTCCATTAGAGACCACACCCAGTCCATGAATTTTACACAAGAAAATTGGATCTCAAAACCCATGAACTAAATGTAACCACTGTTTGTTTATTGTAATGTTTTCCAGTTTGACTAAAAATATCTAAATGATAGCTTTTATTTGACATTTGAAAAACATCCTGACACACACACTGTATTAAAATAGAAACGGATATTCAAGCCTGACAGTGTTCAAGAAGTGGAGTAGGATTCATGACTCTCGTGGGAATTCTCTGAAAACCAGAAGGATCATTTAGTAATGGTGGCATCTGGCTGAAGGTTAGTATTACATCGTCCAGCCTGAATACATAGATTTGCATGCTTTGTTTCTGTTTTGTCCTTTAAATTCACACTGCCCACAATCACACTGTTAATCATAGTGTAGACATACAGATAGTCCACACTATGATAAAGATCTGACTTTCAACATCCTACCTTTTGTGGCAGGATGTACAAAGTGAGATTATGCCCAGTGCAGAGTGAGACATGGTGGGTCAGAGGGGGAGGGAAAGAGTGGAGTGAGTTACTGACCATGAAGCAGGTTTATTAGATTACAGAGCTATGTCTAACAGGCCATTTATTACACAGAAAGCCAGACCACAGCCATAGCATCCATGCAGATTTAGGAATGAATATGAAAGTGTTTTCTTCAGGGTTCATCAAGGACAGACAGATAAAGACGGGAATTAGTTTAATTTTACCACAGAGTGCTGGAGATGCTCCAGGAAAATAAAACAGGAAGAGGAAATCCATTAAATTAAATTAGAAAACTGCTGAGCTTGAATAAAGCAAATAGACTGAGAGTAGGCAACGGTGCAAAGATCCACATGTATGAAGAAAATGGATTCTATCAAAAGTACCACACATAATGTGGAACACAAAGGAAGAAAGTGCCACGCCCAATCGTCTCAGCGCACGGTCTGTAATACTATGCCTATGGTAGTCTTCAGATCTCAGTAACACTGGCCTGAAACACTGAGGCATACACACACATTGCAGAAATATGTGAATGTGTATATATCCTTCTTTATTGTTTGACACTTACATTGTACTAAAATTGTTGTAAACATGCTGTTAAACAGAACATCCTGATCCTCATACATGTGTTCAGGGGTCATCTGTGGATACCGAGTCTAGCTGTTGGTGGCCCAAAAACCTGCTGTTGACCGGACAATCAAATGGAGTTATCTGACAACTCAAACTTGAACAGGGATTACAAGATAGAGTGCTTTTCCAAAGGGATAAAATAACTGCAGAGTCATGGCTCTGCCCCAGACACCCAGAATATCAATAAAGTATTCCATTACTGTAAAAGGAGAGACAGAGAGAGCGGAGGGAAACAGGGAGACAAATGGAGGAGGAAAAGAATCAAATCAATGAATCCATGTGATTCACTTTGGCTTAGAATTTCCAATTCTCCAGTTCAAGAAACTGAATCCTTTATAGACACATTTGTTAGTGATGATAATGAAAGCAGTGGATGAAGTCATATATAAATGTATATGCAACGTCTGGAGAAACAAAACTAACCGAGTAAGCACCTGGCAAAGCGACAATGAGGGCATAAATCACAGGGGGAGGGGAAGTGGGCCTGGGACAGCATCTCTAGTTATCTGAGATGGGGAAGCCAGTCTGGCTTTCTGCCAAGTTCTCTGGTTAAAAGGATGGAAGTGTCGCTACTGAGACAGCACTAGTGAAATCACAGTGAGAGGCAGGGCTATCTTTGTGGGGCAGGGAGTGGCCAAAGCTTGTATGCTCACGAGTGATTGAGAAAGGATGGCTACATGTGGGTGTGTTAAGGAGAGACGAGGGAGGGGGCTGTAGGATGCAGATGGGCCTGAGTGCATAAAAACCCTCTGCACTCTTCAGTCTGATGTCCTGTTGCTTCAACAGCATCTACAAGCCTCCAGCTCTCCACTTTTCCAGAACCACAGCAACCATGAGCCATTCTTCAATGCATACGTCTACCTCTTACAGGCGCACCTTTGGAAGTCCACACCCCATCTCAATGGCTTCCTACTCTCCTGTGTCCAGTCGCATGCCTGTTTCTTCTGGACGCTACATGCGTTCCATGTCGCCCGTGGTGGCGTCCCGATCCACCACCTACCACCAACAGCGTTCCCGCCCCAGCCCTCAGCCCCCTCGCCTGTCTTATGACAAGGTGGACTTCAGCCTGTCCGAGGCCATCAACCAGGAGTTCCTCACCACCCGCAGCAATGAGAAGGCTGAGCTGCAGGAGCTCAACGACCGCTTTGCCAGTTTCATTGAGAAGGTGCGATACCTGGAGCAGCAAAATGGTGCACTGCAGCAGGAGCTCAACCAGTTCAAGGGCCAGCAGCAGCACGGCCAGCCCAACCGGGCATCGGAGATGTTCCAAGATGAGCTGAGAGAGATGAGGCGCCAACTTGATGCCGTCGGCAAAGAGAGGGACGAGTATCAACTGGAGAGGGACAACCTGGCTGAGGACCTGACCCTGGTCAAGCAGAGGTTGGTATAAATGTATGGATAGATAGATAGATAGATAGATAGATAGATAGATAGATAGATAGAT